AATTTTGGGGAGAGAGTTTCTAATTGAAGCTTCCCTTGCTAGAAATGAGAAACTGAGTTTTGGGAAATCTCTTAGCACTGTACCACTTGATGGCACTGTTGGGTGAGGAACATGAATGTTGTGGGAAAAGTTACCGGGGCATTTGCTTGTCTGTTTCAGAGTAAATGATCTCATTTTTTTTTTTTTTTTGTTTTGTCCCTTTTGAATCATCGTCTGCTTTAGTGTTTCCTATGAAGAAAAACCTTTGTATTCTTCAAATAAGCGGTAACAGTGTTCTTTCACGTTTTTTCCAGGCATTTTTGAGCACAGAAATATAATAGCTTTCAGCAGTTAAATTCTTTAGATTTAGAGAGAAAACAGCTAAAAAGCTGATAGATTATGAGGTTAAAAACCTTTTAAGATTTCCCTGCCCACCTCCCCCCCCAGCCCCCCACTGGTCAGGAACAAAACCGTGTAATTCTGCTTTCTTGTTTTTACTTGTAGTTAATGACTAGATGTTTACTTACTTGATGATCATTAACTGCTTGTAGGACACTTAAATGTGTGATTTAGGAGACTTTGAAAGTATAAGCAAGGTTTTATTATTGTTTAAGAAAGAAACATTCTTTTTAAATTGTTCACTCATTAACTGTTGGTAAAAGTAATTATCACTCAGAAAATTATAAAATTCAGTTTTTTAAGTTTATTTTCTAGTTCACTTTCAGAAAAGTTAAATAAAATATGTTTAGCTTAAAATTTAATGCAGGAAATTTGCTTTTTATATTGATTAAAGTGTCTTATAACATTTATGTGATTGGTACAGCATTTAGCACTCCATTTCCTTTGAGCTTGCATTTGTAGGAAAGTGAAAAAGCAGGAAGGTTTTACTTAAATAGTTATGAATGTTGAAAAATATGTAATTTCTTACATTATGTACAACATAAGGGATCTTATTTTGTGAAATAATGAATATTCACAGAACTTGAAGGTTTAAATGGGGCAAGATGACTTTTAGTATCAACTGTCCATTTAATTGTAAAAAGTATAGGGGTAAAAGAGGAACTAGGAACTTCTTGGTTCGAGAAGGATTTGGTGAATTTGCTAGGAGTAGAGGATTCTGAGAAAATGGACTCTCTAACTTTACTTTCAAAAGAAACAAAAACTTGGGTTACTGACTACTTGGAAGGTATAATTAAAAGAGTTAAGATATTCTAGGGTTTCCTTAAACTAATTTTTAAGTTCCTGTTGAAGCTGAAAGCACTGACCTATGTTAAGTAGTTTAATGATGTGAGTCTTCGTGGATAGCAAAGGCTGCTTTACTTTCTATATATATATATATATATATAAAATATTTTATTTATATTTTTGGTTGTGCTGGGTCTTTGTTGCTGTGTGGACTCTCTGTAGTTAGGATAGTGAGGGTTGCTCTCTAGTTGTGGTATGCAGGCGTCTCCTTGCCGTGGCTTGTCTTATTGCAGAGCGTTGTCTTGAGTGCACATGGAGTTCCGTAGTTGCAGCTCCTGGGCTCTCGAGCACAGGCTCCGTTGCTCCATGGGATGTGGGATCTTCCTGGACCAGGGGTCGGACCTTTGTCTCCTGCATTGGCAGGCAGATTCTTTACCACTGAGCCACCAGGGAAGCCCAGGCTGCTTTTCTTTAAAATGGATGGGTCTACCCATCTTTCTTTTAGGATTGGAAAAAAGCTTTGAAGTAGATTGAACTAACTGGAAGAAGAAAATAATGAAGCAAAGTATAGATGACTTGCCCAGGAGAAGAAGGAAAAAGGAGATGACATATTTCAGTTAGGTTTTTGATGCTGCATGTTATAATCTCAAATTTTATTGAAAAATACATTGGAAAAGACAACCAAGAATTGATTTTGTAAACTCAGAAGCTAGTTCTTAAAAAAAAGAGACCCAGTTAGCAAATATAAAAAAAGTAAAAACTTTAAGAATAAGCCAGCTGATATGCTAGAAATATTTAAAAACCACTTGAAAACCTCAGTGAAACAGGTAATTTTTTGTAAAAAATAACATTTTCAAAATTGATTCAACACAAAATTAAATAGACCAGTGATTATGGAAGAAAATGTAAAAAGGTACCAGAGTTATGTCTCTGCTCAGTCGTTTTTGCCAGAGCATAGGAAAGAAAAACTCGTCATTTCATAATATGGAAAAATAGGCAGAATCTTAACAATGACAAAAAAAGAGTATAGAGATCAAAAGTATGGGTCAGTCTCACTTTTAAGTGTCGATACAAAAATTCTTAAGTAGAACTAACAAATTATATTTACTAGTGTATTAAAAATAAAAATTTACCATCATCAAAGATAATTAATCTTGAGGAATGAAAAGATACTTTAAATAGGAAACTTATTAATATATATAACAGCAGGGACAGTAAACTATGATTACCCCACTAACTGCATAAAAGATATTTGATAAGCTCTTGTTTTATAAAATATAAAACTTGATCATTTTACTATTATTCTTATAGAAATAGAATGATATTTTCTTAATATGTTGTAGAATATTTTAGAATAAGAGGTAACAGTATTTATCTAAGAAGTATCTGTCGAGCACTTATTCTACATACTGTTTTGAGTGCTGACAAACTGTTTCCCATGGAGCTTACATTCTAGTGGGGAAGGGTGACAGACAACAAACATAACAAGTAAGTAAATTATGTATGTTGGAAAGTGATAAATTTTATTTTTAAAAAAACAGTGTGGGATAAAGAGATGGGAGTGGGATGGATTTGCAGTTTCAGTGGCATATTCAAAACGGGTCTCATGGAGGGGGTGTCATTGGAACTAAGACTTGACCTTTGTGAGGGAGTAAGTGGCAGAGATATTTGGGGAAAGTAGACTCCAGCTGCTGAGAACAGCCAGTACTGAGGCTCTGAGGATAAGTGGGGGTCTGATGAGACTGGAGAGACTAGTAGGAGATGAGGTCAGGTCAGTTCTTGAGATCACGGAGGTACTGTTTGGGAGAACTAGTACCTGAGCCTCTAAACTCCCAGTGCATAACTCTTTGTTATCCCATGACCTCAATTTTTGAATCTTAATTTTTCTGACCTGCAGTGTGGCAGTTGGGAGGGGTAGAATTTGGGCACAGATTTAAAGCCTTATATTTGTAATTGATCATGAACTGAAGGGAAAAAAAGTATTTGTTACTGAAGTGAATATGAAAAAACCAACTTTGTAACTAAAATATAATAGCAATATATTAAAATGTAATATTCTAACTGAAGTTTGAATATTTAGAAAGTAAATTTGATATTAGTATGAATCTGTCTATTATGCTTGAAAATTAAGTCTGCAGTTGCCGTAGGCTTTTTTTTGGGGGGGAGTGGTACTAGCACATGTTAAGAGAATTATTACAAATTTGTGAGAGTGTTTTACAGGATACCTCAGTTCTTTACAGAGTGGATTGTGCTTTTCATTTCTTTAAAGAAGGATGAAGTGAAGTGAATGTTACTCAGTTGTAGCTGACTCTTTGCGACCCATCCGTGGAATTCTCCAGGCCAGAATACTGGCGTGGGTAGCCTTTCCCTTCTCCAGGGGATCTTCCCAACCCAGGGATTGAACCCAGCTCTCCCACGTTGCAGGCAGATTCTTTATCAGCTGAGCCACAGGGGAAGCCCTAAAGAAGGATAGAATGCATTTAAAATATGTTGAAGTACTACTATGGAGCCACCATATTCTTGACTTCTCAGCATCTGTAGCCTTGTTTCTGAAGTGGTGATTATGGTTATTAGGATCCAAAATAAATAATGGATATCAGATGCCTAGGACAGGGCCTGGCACGTTCATAAGAAAAAATAAATGATAATTTAAAAAATTGTGATGATCAAAGAGGAATATGAAGTGTTTGAGGCTCTGAGGCATGAGTTTGAGTACTTTCCTCCCCTTGACTCCACCTTTCAACTTTATCTCCATTCTTCCTTCCTCACCATGTCCCTTCTCTCAGCTAAGGCTTATATCGAGCCACACTGGGAGTTTTGCAGATCTAATTTAAGTCTTTCATGGTAGGCAGAGTTTTATCTGATGATAAACCATTTTCATGGTTCTGTAGTATAATGATATATTCAGAGATGTGTAAGACTTGTAGAATTATTTCTGTCCATTTTAAATGACTTTGTATTGTAGTTTTTGAGCTCTTGTTTTGAATTTTTCTAGTTTTTTGCTTTCTTCCTGACTGTTAGCTCCCATTATTGGCTGCTTTTATTTTTTCCTCATGACTTCTCATTTTCAGAGTCTGATCTGCTGAGTGTTGGTTGACTCCTTGGATAATTGAGTTTTATAAAATAATGTGTGGCAGGAATTGAAAATAAATTTTTAGTTTCTGTGTTGATTCTGATTAGTATTGGTATCCTGGAGTGCTGAATCCTGGAGTTGTATCCAGATTTGGTGAGAAGGTGCTCTGATGATGAAAGGGGGTGGCAGCAATGCATATTTGCAGTGATTTGTCTAGAGAAAGGGTAGGTTGGCTCCATGTGAGAGTCCAAGTGGGCTTTATAATGGGTAAAATAAATTAGTGTATGGGTTTTGTGCTGTTTGTTTGACTTACTCTTTTGGTTATTGGTTAACCCTTTTACTTTACTTTGAGGCTTCTAAATAACGTCTCCGTAGATAAATGAAGGAAATTATTAAAAAGGATTGTTTTGTTCTATTTAAGTTATCTTTATGTTACCTTCCCAATAATTGTGTGATTAAAATTTTAAGCCATGTTTTCTTTGCTATTTCATATTTTATCAGAATTGTATACTTGATGAAATTTGCAGATGTGCAATATTGCACTGAATGGAAAATACCAGATGATTAATAAACTTTCACAAGGCAAATTGAATTGAATTTCCAAATACTTCATTATAATGGCAATAAATGGGCATGTCTGTATGATTACTAGTTTTTATAATCTTTTAATGTGTGACTGTATCTGAGAAAGTTTAAATTATTTTAAAATGAGTTATTTCTGGTGTGCTTTTCCTTTTACACATATCACATATAACTTTTGCAGGTTGGATTTGCTACCATTTTATGCAAGATTGGTTGCTACATTGCATCCCTGCATGTCTGATGTAGCAGAGGATCTTTGTTCCATGCTGAGGGGGGATTTCAGATTTCATGTATGTATTTAAGTATTTATTTTGTAATATATATATATATATATATACACACACACTTATGAGTGAGGATTCTTTAGTTTAAGAATATGATTATTTTATTGGTAAGCACATTTTGAAATCTGATAGTGGTATAACAGTTCAGAATGTATGGACTTCTAAATTTTTAAAATGTGAATCTATTCAACAATACTTGAATTTTGTAAATGCTATTACAATTTGGAGATGAGTGGCTGCTGCTACCTTGTTTTCCCATTGTAGGTCCTATACTCTGCTTTCGTAAAGTAAAACCATTCTCCAAAGTCAAGAGAGCCAGCAGGCCTCCTTGGGGTCACCAGAAGAAGCATAGGGTTGGCCGTGATTCAGGGCACAGTGTCAATAGGATGCCTGTTTAGGTATTGGGGTCCTGTGTTTGGGGCACATGAAGTTTTGATCTCAGTGAATGCGGTCATAGGCCATGTTTTTATTGATTCTTGCCTTAAAAATCTTTACGTTAAGGATTCTTAATAGAGTGTCTGTGAGTGGTTCTCCCAAACCCATGTTACCCCATCATTTTGGCTTGAAAGAAGTAAAATGATACCTTAGGAGTGACAAAGTGAACATTGATAGAATTTGAAAAGACCTAAAATGCAAGTGTTCATGTATGTCAGTGGAAAAATTGTTTGTAAAATTTAGCTTTATATATCAAGTTGCTTGGAATGCACATAAATGTTTGCTGAGCTCGATATATACTTTATTATACTCGTTCTGTGTAGGACTGAGCACCAGAATAGAAATAGTTCTTGAGCTCAGGAGTCTCATGATATAATTAGGAAGATAAGGCATAAATACAAAAGCAAGAGTGAAATAAAAAATTAAACCCTAAGTGTATATTGATGTTATAAGGAAATACATGCTTAATTGCCAAATGAATTGTTGGTGAGTCAGTACCTTGAGTGTAGAGGAGGCAAATTGTCTGTGGAGGTGGGTGGTCTCTGAAGGCTTCTTGCCATAGGTGTTAATCGTTAGTATGAGATTTGTGGGTGACTTTTTCTGCACCAGCTTTTCTGCTGAAGTGTGTTTCAGACATTTGTAGATATTACTACACAGGGACAAGTCTCTGTGTCTAGAAAAGTTTGAAAACACTGAGATCAAGAAAGTCAGACCATTTTGTTTTTGCTTTATGGTAAGAATTCTCAATGTTTTAATAGGATAATGAGCACTATGAACCTCCTGGAAGGGGCTGACTATACACTCGAATGACACATTTTGGTAAATGCTACTAGTTTAGGGGCAGATGGGCCTGAAGGCATATAGTTGATATCCCCTCAGGCAGATATAGACAAGACAGTGTTTTACTAGCAGGCAGTATGACAATATTGTATAAGTTACATGCACATACCCCTCTACCAAAGCTACAGTCAAACAAAATATAAGTTGCTGGACCACACATGATTAGTGCTTTTGGTGAGAAACCTAAAATTATGGAAATTCTGTTTTTGTGTACTTCTGTCCCATCTTTGAAAATTGGGGTGAGAGTTGAGGGGATTGGCATTTTTGTTGCTCTTGTAAGGTTTCATTACAACGAGGAGAGTATCAGGATTCCAGAGAGTATTTGGGAGCTGCTGCTTTCAGGGGAGAGGAGAAAGGTCACTTGGTGTCAGCCATCACCTCTGCTTCCTCTTGATACAGGCTTTCCCACCGTCAGATCTGCAGACTTGCCATTGACCTTTTATCAGGCAGTAAATGTGCTCAGCCCTGTCCTATCTTTAACATGAGGTATAAACAAGAATTTTTACGCAGCCGCAGCCCTCCCCATCCTCCTTCACTTCCTTCTTACTCGAGTCCTGTAGAGTTTGCTTGTCTCTCACACCTCTGACAGTTGTCTTTGTTTCCATGCTAGTGCCCTGGCAGAAACCTGCACTGCTCTCCTAAGCACCTCATCCTAGTTGATGGCCCTGAGTATTCTGACTGTCACTGTGACTCCACAATGACCAAGTTACTTAACTGCTCCACCCCTCGGTTTCCTTTTATTAAATGAGATAATTTGTATCTTTTAAAATAGGATTGTTCTCAGTGATTAAATGAGATAATGCATACAAAGCTCATCACACAGTGCCGGGACACAGATGTCCTTATAATAATAATGACCCCTTTTGTGTACCACGCTCTCCTGCTTTTCACTTCTGACTACTTTCCTCAGTATGCCCTTGCTCTTTTTTCCAGCTGAGTTTATGTGGAGGTATTCTTCCTTCATACTCCTTTTTAGCAGGATGCAGTTTCCCTGGGGTTTGGTTGGTTGATTTCCCAGCAGCCTCACATACCTGTCTCTTACCAGAGCCTCTCTCCTGGTGCTTAATAAGTTGTCATGTACTTTTAGCTAAATACGTCCATAAGACAAACTCATTTTCTTTTAAAAAGTATCTTTATCTTTCCCTTCCTCATACAAACTTCTGTATTCTTCCTGTAAATTTGCAATATAGTTTATATAATCACCAAGGGAAATAGCTTTACTTTTGCTCCTCTGACATTCAGGAACCCGTGTTTGCCAAATTCTGTTGATAATACCTTCTAAAACTCGTCCTTAGGCTAGTATCTTTCCTTCAGTCCCAGTGCCACTCTTTCATTTTCTGTAGCTTGAATTAGGAGAATAGCTGTGTAACCAGGTTCCCCATCTCTGCCTTCTCTCTAGCTGTAACATATTGTCACAATCTGATCCTATTTGCTCCTTGCCTAAGAACCTCACCTGAGAAAAAATGCTGGTTGGCAAAACTATATAAAATCTTATCTGGTAGTCAAAGAAATTCTAGTTAAGACAACAGGTTTGTTAATTTGACTGACTTCTTAGTGAAGGTAATAGAAATGAGAAACCATTCACATATACTTGAGATTGGAATTTGGAGAAAGGAATTTGACAGTATGTCTCAAGATCATTGGAGGTATTCATACAGTAGACAACTCTGAGAATCTGTTCTAAGCAAATGATCCTGAGTACCCCAAAAGCTTTATTCACATCATGAATTGTAATAGGGGAAAAAAGGAAAATAATCTAGAAGTCCAACAATGGATTAATCAGAAAATGGTTATATAATCACAATGCCAAAATGATATAGAGCCATTGAAAATCTTATTTACCAAAAGTTTTCAAATCGTATATAAAGTACTTTTAGGGGAGAAAAAGCAAGCTCTAAAGTCTTAAACATAATAAATCTACAATTATGTTAAAATGCTTAGAAAGTAAACAATAGAAAAAAGTATATATCAGTATATTAGCAGTGGCTGTTAGATAGTGAACTTATGAGAAATTCTTTTCCTTTCTAGTTTTCTGTGTTCACATTTTTAGCAAGGGCTGCTTCTTTAATAATGGAGAAGACAACTTTTACTTAAATATAGATTAATCACCCTCACGGTTCAACATTTTTGAAATCTGGTTTTTTAACTTTTTTGATCAAACCTCTCTGTTGGTAAAAAAAGTTGACCACATATCCCAGTATAGGCACATTTATTTATAAGTTATATGCATTTTTAATTCTACCAGATATTTTATGTATATCATAAGACATACAAAGGTAACTTTAAAGTATGAGATAAAAAGCAAAAACATAAGTAGAAGTTTTATTCCCCCCACCCCAGTATATCAAGCGTCTTATCCTCCCTACTTTGGCGATCAGTAGTCCTTAGAATAATATAAATTTTCTTTGAAGGCAGATTTATTTATTTATAAACCCAGTGCCTAATTAGTGTTTAGTGTATAGTAGATTTTCCAAAATATTAGTTGAATGATTGAATGTTTGTGTAAAACAAATGAGCTAATTATGGAGGACATACAATATGATATTTGGGTGAAGTTATTGAGGGACCAGTTTGGGGCAAAGAGTTCTTCCTTTGGGGGAATAATGAATGATAGGCCTTGGAAGTTCTTTCTTTTGTATGTTGACATCGCTGAAGAGATTTTAACTCATTATATGAATTTAGTTATTCAGTTAATCTCGGTTTTAGCTGTCACTAATACATGAGTTGTAAGTAGCATTTTTGCTGAATTTGATTATATAAATAAAATCTTTTAAGACATTATTGAATTAAAACTATATAGAAAATTTTACATTCATCTGTATTTACTTTTGCAGAAGTGTTTGACATACCTTTTGATCATAAAGAATCAACAAATGAGATTAGAAAATATTAAATGAGGAATCAGAATAAGTTAGTCTTTTTTATTGGTCAGTCTTTTGAAAAACCTTCAGGTTTTTTTTTTTTTTTTCATTTGAAAATGAGGGAGTGAGATGATTCATACCTCATTTTAAAAGTCTATAATCTTGTCATTTTAGTTAGATTGTACTACCTTAACCTCAATAATATGTAAGAATAATTGTGAATGATACACTGTGTTACTTGTTTTAGAAACTATGATGCTTGGTAATACTTAAAATTGTATGATCCTTAGGAATTTGAGTCAGTTCTAGTGAGGTGGATGTACCCAGAGCCTGCTATACAGAGTGAAGTAAGTCAGAAAGTGAAAAACAAATATATCATATATTAATGATATATGTGGAATCTAGAAAAATGGTACTGATGAACCTATTTGTAGGGCATCAATAGAGATGCAGATGTAGAGAAAAGATTTGTAGACCCAGCAGGGGAAGGAGAAGGTGGGAGGAACTGAGAGAGTGGCATTGAAGCAAATACATTACCATATGCAAGATGGTAGCCGGTGGGAGTTTGCTGTATGGCTGCAGGGAGCTCAGCCCAGTGCTGTGACCAGCTAGAGGGATAGTGTGGGGTGGGAGGGAGGGTCAGGAGGGAGGGGACATGCATGTACCCATGGCGGGGTTCGTGTTGATGTATGGCGGAAACCAGCCTAACACTGTAAAGCAGTTATACTCCAATTAAAAACAGATAGTTAAAAAAATTATGCGATCCTCACAGCACAGAGCTTGTATATCTAGAATCACCCAAGGAGCTTTGTGAAAGCATATGTATGTATTTCCCAGCTTCCTCCCTTTAAAGATTCAGCTTCGGCATATCATTTTTGAAATGCTGCTTTTTACTTTTTCTGTTTCTATATTTCTTTAATTGTAAAAGAAACACATGCTCAGACTGGATGATTTAGAAAATACAAAAACACATAAAGAAGAAAGTGGGGGGCAATCTCATAATTTCATCACTTAAACCTTGTTAATATTTTAGTTTAGTTTTTTTTTTTTACTTTTTTGCTTCTGTAGTTTTTCATGGATGAATTTATATTTAGTACAATTTTTCATTTTTTATTTCTCAAAAGCATTTTACTGTATCATTTAAAACACTTTGCAAGCATCATTTGTATAATCTTTTCCTGGATATTAGTTGCTTAGTATTAGGTGAAGTGTAGTTATCATCATTATCGCCCACCATCATCATCCTTGTTTTTATCCTTATTTTTCCAAGTGAGTGAGTAGGTTCAGGGAGTTTTATATGCATTATCCAGGATAATATACCCCCACCCTCACCCCCAAATGGCACAGAATGACTACATGAGCTCAAGTGTTGTGAACTGCACATCTTAGTTCTTTCATGGCACTGCAATATATGTGTAAGCATTAAGCATTTTCATTAATTTGTTCAGTCAGTGAACATTGATTTTGTGCCCATGTTTTAGTGACGCATGTACAAATGTGGATATAACTCATAATGACTAGTATTTATTGAACTGTTTATGGTCCCAGTCACTACACTATTGATTGTGCTTTGTATGTATCAGTTCACTTAATACCCACAACCCTATATGATACAGCTTACTTTGATTAGTTCCATTTTACAGATGAGAAAATTAAGGCATGATGCTTGCTACAGAAAGTTGGTCCTTAAAAGGAAGATGATGAATTCCATTTAAGTGTAAATTGTCTATGTAGAAGATTAATACTTATGTAAAAAATTGTCACTCATTGTCCAGGTGTGGGTGAGGTTAGAACACACACACACTCACAGACACACAGATGCTCACACAGACACATTCACACACACACACACACACACACACACACACTCACAGACACACAGATGCTCACACAGACACACACACACTCACACAGACACACTCACACACAGACACATTCACACTCAGACACACACACACACAGACACGAGTCTTAACCACTGGACCACCAGGGAAATCCTGGTTAAGACTTAAGTTTGAACCCCAGCACATGCTTGAGCAGTTAAATTCTCAAATGTGAGTTAGGAGACTGGGATTTTGGTACTGATCCTTGATCAAGTCATTTGACAGCTTTGTGTTCTTCTGTTGTTTTAACTATTAAATCAGATTTATACAGATTTTACTCCTTTCTCAGAGTGGTGTTGTGTGAAACAAATAAGAAGTATTCTGAAAAATAAAGACACTAAACTCTTTCAAAGAACTGCCATATTATTGTTATTGTTCAAAGAAAAGTCTTCTATACTGTAGGTTTGGTTTTCTGATGAAAATATAATTCTGAGGTTAAATCCATTTACATTTATCTTGATGTGTCTGTTCACATTGTACTGTTGTAATAGGATTTCGTTATGTTCAGTATTTTTTGAAATGTGTGCCTGAGTTAGGGGGCTTATATTTGCAAAGGATTTGAACTTTGATATGTGACTGTGACTATTGATAATTAAAAAAAAAGTGATTGTATTGGAAATTTCATTGTACTAATGTATTTGCAATAAAAAATGTAGTATATAGTTCATAACTATAATACACTGACTAAGCCTTAATATTTTTTGCTTAAGTGAGCTTTAGGCATTTATTATTTTTAACGGAACATTTCCTAATGTATATTCCTTATAATATTAATTTAACAAACTAATAGTTGTTAACATTTCAAAAGCGGTATGTATGTTTTTATGTTGCCAAAGAAATTTGAGAAACTTTGAATTAAGTTAAATAGGTTTCTTTGTTTGAGAACCTCTTTAAGGCTGCTGAAATGCATTGTTTCCCCAGATTACTTGGCCATGAAACTGTTTTGGAAAGCACGTCCTGGCCCTGGTGTTCCACGGAGCTAATGTTGTCTTAACTTAGAATAATTTGAATATAGCAAGAAACTATACCCAAATTTATTTAAAATATCTTGAGTGAATTCAGTCTTATTAAAATAACAATTCTTATCACAGATTTCAGTCTATTAAGCAATGTCTCTTTTCTTTTAATTTGTAGGTACGAAAAAAGGACCAGATCAATATTGAAACAAAGAACAAAACTGTTCGTTTTATTGGAGAACTCACTAAGTTTAAGATGTTTACAAAAAATGATACACTGCATTGTTTAAAGGTAAGTGCTGAATCATTTGACATATTTTTTAATAGATAAATCTAAAGTTTTAATGCTTTAGTTTATAAATGCTGGAAAATGATGCAATTAAATATTTAATCTGTAGGAAGACAAAAAAAGAAGTAAAAAGGAACAATTAATAGATGAGCAAGCTAAAGAACAAATAATAAGATGGTAGATACAAATACAGCTATAACAGTAATCACATGTAGTGTAGAAGGACAAACTACATTAAGTAAAAGCCTTAAGAATATAAGATTTGATTGAAACAACATTATGTGCTGCCTACAAGGAAGATGCCCTTAAAATATTAGCACCAGGAAGCCTAAAGTGAAAAGATGGGGGAAATATACCAAGGAAGCACTAAAAATATAAGATAAAGCACTTGGCTTTATTATTATCAGACAAAGTAGACTTTAAGGCACAAAGCATTGTTAGAAATAAAGAATCATAGTTCATAAAGATAGTGTTAACCTTCCTGAATCAGTATGCATCCAATAATGTATTTTCAAAATACATGAAGCAAAAATCAATAAGGAAAGAGAAATCTGCAGTCATAGTGAAAGACTGAAAAATACCTTTTAGTAGCTGAAAGCATAGGCAGGCAAGTGAGTGAGTGAGTATGTACCAGATTGGACAATGCAATTAATAACCTTAATCTAATTGACAGTATATCCAACAGAATCAGAATGTACAGTCCCTTCAAATGCACATGAATGAACCAAAATCAATCAGAAAGTCTCAGCAAGTTACAAAAAGGAAATTACTCAGATTACAATTTTTTGTCCACTAAGGAATCAAACTAGAAACTCATTAGTAACTAACTAGTTATGTGTGGTAAAGCTGATAACAGCATCAGTTCAGTTGCTCAGTCATGTCCGACTCTGTGATCCCATGGACTACAGGCTTCCCTGTCTATCATCAATTCCCGGACTCTATGCAAACTCATGTCCATTGAGTCGGTGATGCCATCCAACCATCTCATCCTCTGTTGTCCCTGTCTCCTCCTACCTTCAATCTTTCCCAGTATCAGGGTCTTTTCCAGTGAGTCAGTTCTTTGCATCAGGTGGACAAAGTATTGGGAGTTTCGGCTTCAGCATCAGTCCTTTCAATGAATATTCAGGACTGATCTCCTTTAGGATGGACTGGTTGGATCTCCTTGCAGTCCACGGGACTCTCAAGAATCTTCTCCAACACCACAGTTCAAAAGCATTGATTCTTCGGCGCTCAGCTTTCTTTATAGTCCAACTCTCACATCCCTGCATGACTACTGGAAAAACCATAGGTTTGACTAGATGGACCTTTGTCGGCAAAGTAATGTCTCTGCTTTTTAATACGCTGTCTGGGTTGGTCATAGCTTTTCTTCCAAGAAGCAAGCATCTTTTAATTTCATGGCTGCAGTCACCATGAAATTATATGAAGCACAGATGAAATAATAATTCTGCATTTGAAATTGGTCATTACTAACAATAACAAATTTTTTATCAAGTTGATTTCCTTGAGATATCACTACCTATGTCACACACGCTCGTGGATTCAGATACATTTGGAAAACCCTTAGTTAAACAAACATGTTTCTTTACTGCATGATTAAGAATGTTTAAAATATTTTGAACAATTGTTGCAAATATTCAAGGGGTTTAGTTTCCTAAACCTACCTGGAGCATCTCAGGAGACTACAGAGTACATTAGGGAAACTTTGGACAGCATTTTAAGAGGTTGTTAAAGTTTTTTCAGTGCTGTCATTGAAGGGAATCATGCCATGAACAACTTAAACATTAGTGTATCTCTGTGTTAATTACCAACATATGTAGGAAGAATATACATTTGTTTGACTCAAGTTCATTTCTGTAAATTTGGTTTAAGGAAATAATCATAAATGTATTTAAATTTATCTACAAAAATGTTGCACTACACTGTTGTTTATAGTAGCAAAAAAATCATAAAAACATTCCATCAATAAGAATTGGGGAGGTTTTAGTATAATTCATAAGTACTGTGTACCCTCTAAATCATACCATAGAAGGAAAAATAAGGACATGGAAAATACTCATGTTAGCCAAAATAAAAGCCAAATTATTAAATGATATGACTAAACCTGTTTGGTTTAGAAAATATGCACAGAAAAATATTGGGGAGCTATATATTAAAATGTTGTAATGTGCTGTTAAGTTTCATACAATAAGCCTTTTGTTGTCAAAATTTTCAAGGTAAATGTCATGTATAGCCAAACCAGAAAATATTTAGAAAATGCTATCTATTTGTATGTGGCATTTATTTAAATATGTAGCATCTCCTGATAAATATGAGTTTTGATAAATTAATTTTCATATATCTAAAAGGAATGACATTAAATATATTGACGTTTTTAGATAAAATTTTATGGTTGAACACAAGATACCCTGTGATAAAGGTTGACATCTAAAATAGACTAGTTTTTTTTTTAGTTGAAAGTATAGTTGATTTATAATGTGTTTAGCTTTTCTTTTTTTTACAGTGACATTTTTTAAAGGTGTTCCACATATTAGGTATGTAATGTTTTCTTTAATAGGACTGAAATGTCTTTTTGGGTTTTTATCATTATTATTATTACAGATGCTTCTATCAGACTTTTCCCATCACCATATTGAAATGGCATGTACCCTACTGGAAACATGTGGAAGATTTCTTTTCAGATCTCCAGAATCTCACCTGAGGACCAGTGTACTTTTGGTAAGGGCTTGAGGATAGTAGCAAGATCTTGAAGTTCATGATTTACTCCAGGGGTTAAAAATTTTGACCAGTGCTTGTTACCTTGAACAACCATTTAAACATGTTTCCTTAAGTAAGAACTCCAGCCATTCCTGAAGAGCTATAGGAGCTTTTCTCATTTGGCTGTCAGTGAGCTCACACTATTGTAGAGTGGGATTGAATTCAGCCCCAGATAACTTTTGGTAAACTTGGAGCCATCTTTCTGAATGTTCTTGGTACATTGTTACTGTGCCATAACCACATAAATGATGGGACTTAAATTTTTAAAATTATAAAACAAAACATAAGCTTAAAAAATTAACTTGGAGAAGAAGATATTTCTTAAGCTAATTAGGATGCCAAAATGGCAATCATGTTTTTTAAGCAGTTAAGTTATGCTTATTGGTAATATCCATGCGTTCACTTGGAGCCTCACGGGGAGACAGTGTGGTGGGGGAGGGGTATCAGTTAGTGTCAGAGAGCACTGGGTGGAGTCTCTGGACATAGACTGTCATTGCATCAGTGTTGCTTTTATAGAAGTGCTGATACGTCTTTTTCTCTACCTGTGTTGTTTTTTTAGAATCTAGTTATAAGCTTGACTACTTCTCTGACAATGATATTTAAAATGAAAAAACATAGTAATTTCTAGTAGACAAAAATATTAATGGGACAAGCATTAATATTTTGTCTAGTAGACAAAAATATTAATGTGAAATCATATGGAGTTGACTTGCACATTCTTTTTAGGCTTATTCAAGTGAATAATAATCATTCCCAGTTGAAATTTTTATTTTAACATAGGAAAAACTCTTCCTTCTCTTTGGCTCTAGCTGATACAGCTAAATGAGACACTACATATTTTTTTTTTTTTTAATTTATTTATTTATTTTTATCACAACCATAGTGTATCTTTTTTTTTTTTTTTACATGTATTCCCCATCCCGGTCCCCCCTCCCACCTCCCTCTCCACCCAATCCCTCTGGGTCTTCCCAGTGCACCAGGCCCGAGCACTTGTCTCATGCACCCAGCCTGGGCTGGTGAACTGTTTCACCCTAGATAATATACGTGTTTCAATGCTGTTCTCTTGAAACATCCCACCCTCGCCTTCTCCCAGAGTCCGCAAGTCTGTTCTATACATAGGAGTCTCTTTTTCTGTTTTGCACATAGGGTTATCGTTACCATCTTTCTAAATTCCATATATATGTGTTAGTATACTGTAATGGTCTTTATCTTTCTGGCTTACTTCGCTCTGTATAATGGGCTCCAGTTTCATCCATCTCATTAGAACTGATTCAAATGAATTCTTTTTAATGGCTGAGTAATATTCCATGGTGTATATGTACCACAGCTTCCTCATCCATTCGTCTGCTGATGGGCATCTAGGTTGCTTCCATGTCCTGGCTATTATAAACAGTGCTGCGATGAACATTGGGGTACACGTGTCTCTTTCAGATCTGGTTTCCTCGGTGTGTATGCCCAGAAGTGGGATTGCTGGGTCATATGGCAGTTCTATTTCCAGCTTTTTAAGAAATCTCCACACTGTTTTCCATAGTGGCTGTACTAATTTGCATTCCCACCAACAGTGTAAGAGGGTTCCCTTTTCTCCACACCCTCTCCAGCATTTATTGCTTGTAGACTTTTGGATAGCAGCCATCCTGACTGGTGGAGACACTACATATTATAATAGAGATGCCAAGAAAGATTAGCTTTTAAAAGTGACTATATTTTGTTTGTAATACTGAACTGTCTATGTTTACTGTTTGCTGGGGAAAGTTTACTAGTCATGGTATGGATGCTTATCCCATTGCTGCAAACCAAAGTCCTTTTTGCTTGACTGGTTTTCGTGGCTCAGTGTATCTTTCTGTCTTGTAGCAAGAGCAGCAAGCATTATCATTGACTATCTTGCTTTCTGGATAGGAGCCTTGTTTATCATATAACATTTTGGGGGCTCCTCCTGTGTGTCAGGCACTGAACTGCAGGAATGATGTTCTTGCTGATTGGGAGGGGTTAGTACAAAGAAACAAACATAGTTGGCATCCTTAAAGTGGTCCCTATCTAGTGCTAATTCCAGTATAGTGTTCTACGTGTTTTAACTGGGAAAGGTGTGCAGAGGATCTTATGCACTTATCGAGGGAGTACTTTAAGCTAGACTTAATGATCAGAAAGGATCTTCCCTAATAGCTGCTTGGTATTCCTTGACTGCAGACTCTTCTGTCGGACCCTTGGGATATAAAAGTGAAAAAGATAGTCCATGGCCTCAGGGAATTTATAGTCATAACTCAGATGAGTAATTAGACAACTGAAATACACAGAAGGGGAATGTGATCTAATACTGTGGGTCAGCATAGGGTAATATATGTCTGCATAGGAGAAGTGCTTCATCTAGTCTTGGTATGTCAAGAAAGGTTTCCTGAAAAAATAGTATTTATTTTAGAGACTAACCTGAACCTCAGAGGCAGAGAAGAGAGACACACTAAGAGGCTGCAGATAAGACTGGAGAGGTGAACACAGCCTAGATTATAAAAGCGCCCTGAGCCTGAGTGCTGTGCTGAGAAACTCATACCCCTCCCCGCGACGGCAGTGAGTAGCTATTGAAGGATGTTAAGCAGGTAGGATAGGTATGATCAGATTTGATTTTTTAGAAAGATCAGTGTAGAGGAGATAATTGAGGTGGTTGAGGCTGGAGGTAGACAGAACAGTGAAATGGCTGTTTTCAGATCTTAACAGAGAAAAAAAGAAATGGTAAGGGTGGGAAGATGAGGAATGGTAACTGGCTGTATGAAGAATTTTAGGAGGTAGAACTGATGTGATGTGGTGAGATAATGAGAAAGAGAAAGTGCCCTAAGGTAAAACCCAAGATTCCATCTTGAGCATGCCAGCAGATGATGGTGCTAGTCACAGAGATGAGAAAATAGGAGAAAGGAAGAGAGGGTGAGTTTGGTTTGAAATACACCGATGCTTATTGGTTCAGTTCAGTCGCTCAGTCGTGTCTGACTCTTTGCGACCCCATGGACTGCAGCACACCAGGCTTCCCTGTCCACCACCAACTCCCAGAACTTGCTCAAACTCCTGTCCATCGAGTCGGTGATGCCATCCAGCCATCTCATCCTCTGTTGTCCCCTTCTCCTCATGCCTTCAATCTTTCCCAGTGTCAGGGTCTTTTCAAATGAGTCAGTTCTTTACATCAGGTAGCCACAGTATTGGAGTTTCAGCTTCAGCATCAGTCCTTAAAGAATATTCAGGACTGATTTCTTTTAGGATGCATTGGTTGGATCTCCTTGCAGTTCAAGGGACTCTCAAGAGTCTTCTCCAACACCACAGTTCAAAAGCATCGATTCTTTGGTGCTTAGCTTTCTTTATAGTCCAAGTCTCACATCCATACATGACTACTGGAAAAACCATAGCTTTGACTAGGCAGACTTTTGTCGGCAAAATAATGTCTCTGCTTTTTGATATGTAGTCTAGGTTGGTCATAACTTTTCTTCCAAAGAGCAAGCATCTTTTAATTTCATGGCTGCAGTCACCATCTGCAGTGATTTTGGAGCCCAAGAAAATAAAGTCTGTCACTGTTTCTATTGTTTCCCCATCTATTTGCCATGAAGTGATGGGACTGGATGGCATGATCTTCGTTTTTTGTTTAGTTTAAGCCAGCTTTTTCATGCTCCTCTTTCACTTTCATCAAGAGGCTCTTTAGTTCCTCTCTGCTTTATGCCACAAGGGTCGTGTCATCTGCATATCTGAGGTTATTAATATTTCTCCTGGCAATCTTGATTCCAGCTTGTGCTTCACTGAGCCCAGCATTTCACATGATACACTCTGCATATAAGTTAAATAAGCAGGGTGACAATATACAGCCTTGACATACTCCTTTCCCAGTTTGGAACCAGTCTGTTGTTCCATGTCTGGTTCTAACAGCTGCTTCTTGACCTGCATACAGATTTCTCAGGAGGCAAGTAACATGGTCTGGTATTTCCGTCTCTTGAAGAATTTTCCACAGTTTGTGGTGATCCACACAGTCAGAGGCTTTGGCATCATCAGTAGAGCAGAAATAGATGTTTTTGTGGAACTCTCTTGCTTTTTGATGATCCAGTGGATGTTGGCAATTTGATCTCTGGTTCCTCTGCCTTTTCTAAATCCAGTTTGAACATCTGGAAGTTCATGGTTCATGTACTGTTGAAGCCTCGCTTGGAGAATTTTGAGCATTACTTGCATGTGAGATGAGTACAATTATATAGTAGTTTGAACATTCTTCGGCATTGCCCTTCTTTGGGATTGGAATGAAAACTGACCTTTTCCAGTCCTGTGGCCACTGCTGAGTTTTCCAAATTAGCTGGCGTATTGAGTGTAGCACTTTCACAGCATCACCTTTTAGAATATGAAATAGCTCAACTGGAATTCCATCACCTCCTCTAGCCTTGTTTGTAGTGATGCTTCCTAAGGCCCACTTGACTTTACATTCCAGGATGTCTGACTCTAGCTGAGTGATCACACCATTGTGATTATGTGGGTCATGAAGATCTTTTTTATATTGTTCTTCTGTGTGTTCTTGGGCTTCCCTGGTGGCTCAGAGGTTAAAGTGTCTGCCTGAGTCTGCCTGCAACGCGGGAGACCTGGGTTCGATCCCTGGGTCGGGAAGATCCCTTGGAGAAGGAAACAGCAACCCACTCCAGTATTCTTGCCTGGAGAATCCCATGGACGAAGGAGCCTGGTGGGCTACAGTCCACGGGGTTGCAAAGAGTCGGACACAACTGAGCGACTTCACTTTCTGTGTGTTCTTGCCACCTCTTAATATCTTCTTCTGTTAGGTCCATACCATTTCTGTCCTTTATTGCACCCATCTTTGCATGAAATGGTCCCTTGTTATCTCTGATTTTCTGGAAGAGATCTCTAGTCTTTCCCATTGTATTGTTTTCCTCTATTTCTTTGCACTGATCACTGAGGAAGGCTTTCTTATCTCTCCTTGATGTTCTTTGGAACTCTGCATTCAAATGGGTATATCTATGCTTTTCTCCTTTGCCTTTAGCTTCTCTTCTTTTCTCAGCTGTTTATAAGGCCTCCTCAGACAACCATTTTGCCTTTTTGCATTTCTTTTTCTTGCGGATTGTCTTGATCGCTGCCTCCTGTACAGTGTCACGAACCTCCATCCATAGTTCTTCAGGCACTCTGCCTATCAGATAGATCTAATCCCTTGAATCTATTTGTCACTTCCATTGTATAATCATAAGGGATTTGATTTAGGTTATACCTGAATGGTCTAGTGGTTTACCCTACTTTATGCAATTTAAGTCTGAATTTGGCAATAAGGAGTTCATGATCTGAGCCACAGTCAGCTCCTGATCTTGTTTTTCATGACTGTATACAGCTTTTCCATCTTTGGCTGCAAAGAATATAATCAGTCTGATTTCGGTATTGGCCATCTGGTGATGTCCACGTGTAGCGTCGTCTATTGGGTTGTTGGAAGAGGATATTTGCTATGACCATTGCGTTCTCTTGGCAAAACTGTTAGCCTTTGCCCTGCTTTCTTTTGTACTCCTCAAGGCCAAATTTGCCTGTTATTGCATGATTCTTGACTTCCTACTTTTGCATTCCAGTCCCCTGTGATGAAAATGAGACCTTTTTTGGGTGTTAGTTCTAGAGGTCTTGTAGGTCTTCATAGAACCGTTCAGCTTCAGCTTCTTCAGCATTACTGATTGGGGCATAGACTTGGATTACTGTGATACTGAATGGTTTGCCTTGGAAATGAGCAGAGATCATTCTGTCGTTTTTGAGATTGCACCTAAGTACTGGATTTTGGATTCTTTTGTTGACTGTGAGGGCTACTGCAATTCTTCTAAGGGCTTCTTGCCCACAGTAGTAAATAAAATGGTCATCTGAATTAAATTCACCCATTCCAGTCTACTGTAGTTCACTGGTTCCTAAAATGTCGATGTTTACTCTTGCCATCTCCTGTTTGACGACTTTTAATTTACCTTCATTCATGGACCTATGCAGCATTCATGGACCTATGCAGGTTCCTATGCAGTATTGCTCTTTACAGCATCGGACTTGACTTCCATCACCAGTCATATCCACAACTGGGAGTTGTTTTCACTTTAGCTCCATCTCATTCTTTCTGGAGCTATTTCTCTACTCTTCTCGAGTAGCATATTGGGCACCTGCTGGCCTGGGAAGTTCATCTCTTAGTGTCATATCTTACTGCCTTTGCATACTGTTCATGGATTCTCAAGGCAAGAATAGTGAAGTGATTTGCCATTCCCTTCTCTACTGGACCATGTTTTTTCAGAACTCTCCACCATGACCTGTCTTGGGTGGCCCAACACGGCATGGCTTATAGTTTCATTGAGTTAGACAAGGCTGTGGTCCATGTGATCAGTTTGATTAGTTTTCTGTGATTGTGGTTTTCATTCTGTTCACCCTCTGATGGATAAGGATAAGACTGTATTTTCAGGGATCATTTCTATGGTTTGTTACTAGAGAAGTTTCTCTGAACATGTAGAGCACCCAAATGCTTATGGGATGATATAAAAAATATATTTATCTGGGAACACATATAACCTTTTAACTGGTTTGCATTTAAAATTATTCTTGGCTGATGTTAAAAGTAGTTTGGTGTGTGTGTTAGGGGAAGTGGTTCTGAATAACAGAACAGTAGTCTGCATAACAGGTTGAAACTTATGTTGATTTAAAACTGGATTATGTATGTACAAATGATGAGTGAAGCATTCCTTTTGTTTGTCCAAAGAACCTAAAAGGAGTGGTCATTATCTCTAGCCCTGTTCAACAGGGAATTGTTCTGTCTGGAGGAGCCGGCATTAAATAAGCATTCACAGATTGTAGAATAGATGTCAGGAGAGGAGCTAGGCTACAACCATATACTTGAGCAGATTCATAGACAAATGAAACAGTTGTGAACCTTGGTATACCCATAATTGAGCTTATGAAGAGCAAAACTTCTCCCCAGTACGTGATGGCTTTACATGTATGGAAACACGGACCATGGGAAAGATTAAATGTTTTTTTAAAAAATTCATTTATTAATTTGTGTATTAGTAAACGTTAATTGCAAACCTCCGATACGTGCTAGGGCGGACACTGATTAGGTGATGAGTTTATGAACCTGCTGCAACCCATGCCCTTCCTGAACTTACAGACACAAGTGTCTTTCCAAAATGTGAACTCTTGCCTCCATCTGCCAACCCCCCGCCACCCTAGTCCAGACACCTTCTTAAAGCTCATCATGCTTCCCTTTACATGCTTCAAACTCCTGTTCCTACCAACTTCTTCAGAGTCTGGTCTCACTGAACCCTCCCCACTTGGAGCTGATCTCGTGCCATTCCGTCCTGGCAGCATGCTGGCCTGCATTTAGTTCCTGTAGCGGATCCTTCCGTTTCCTCATTGCCCCTTGTCTAGCTGTTGCTTCTGCCTCAGCTGCTCTCAGCCTTTGTCATCCTTCAGAGCACAACTTCAGTGTCACTTTCCCAGAGAGGCTGTCCCTAACCTGTCCTGACTAAAGTGGGCTCTTGTTACTCTCATTATTTTCTTTCATAACATTAATCACAGTTCGTATTTAAAAGATTAGTTTATTTGTTGCCTTGATTGTTCTGTCTTCCTGCAGCAGACTCTTAGGCTTCACAGAGGTAGGAACCATGTCTGTCTTGTTCATTGGTGACTTCCAGCATAGTGCTAAGTTAAGTGCCAAGTAAAATGTTTGATGAATGGCTGAATAAATGCAGTAATTTTAATTCTTACTATAGTGCTGTTTTAAGAACTAGGAATGCTGTTTGAAGATCTTCAACTGGTTCATCTCTGGTTCTCAACTGGTATGTGGTGGGTATAGGTGAAGGTTGCTGCAGAACATCCCACAGTGTATGGAACAGTTCCCACTCCCACCAGACAAAGAACTTTCCAGTCCAAAATGTCAGTAGTGTGAGGCTGAGAAGCATGAAGTAGGTGATGATTGATTGTTTTAATAACCTCCTTGAGCTGATGCTGAGGTCACTGGATGAGTTGTAAGACATTGAAAGGCTTTTAGTTTTCTTGTCTGTAGAGATATGTCAGATTTACTTGGTACAACGTTGGATGGCCCAAGCTCTATGAATAAAGTTATTCTCAACTTTTGTCCCAGCCCTTAACTTCAGTAATTCATATATAAGCCTTGTTTTATGTAGAGTTCATGTGGTTTGGCAGAGTTATAAGTAAAGTTAAATTTGTATCAAAGTTCTGTGAGTATTTTATTGGACAAAGCCTAAGACCAAGTAGTTACGGAGTAATCTGTTCTAAAAACATGACTGGTGATACAACAGTTACTACACTTGTATATTCTTAGAAGTACCTAGTAATTATTTTTTTCCCTTTATCTTGAAACCTTATCCTGGAAAGGGCACCTTTAGTTAGGAACAAAGAAACCTTAGAATGAAAGTATTCTGACTGATTTAAGCTTTATATATTTTAGGAACAAATGATGAGAAAGAAACAAGCGATGCATCTCGATGCTAGATATGTCACAATGGTGGAGAATGCATATTACTACTGCAACCCACCTCCAGCTGAAAAAACAGTGAAAAAGAAACGTCCTCCTCTTCAAGAATATGTCCGGAAGCTTTTGTACAAAGATCTCTCCAAGGTTACCACTGAGAAGGTAAATTTTAATGAAATAGAACAGTAGTCAACTTGTGATTTGTGGTAGTGCTGAGCTTGTATATTAATAACATTCAACCAAATTAATTCTTTTTCATCCTAATGATAATTGTACTGATTGCAGTTCACTTTCTTTGTAGCCTTGCACCAAATTGTTTTAGGTCAAGGACATATATTTCAGTCTTCCTAAATCAACTCAGTTTATCAATTGCTTCAGTGCTCCACAAAGTATAGATAAGAAATGTAAGTAATTTGCAGTATTCAAATCTTGTAAATGGAGAAATTAAAGCAGAGCTATTAATGTCTCACCAGTGGAGTGATTGATTCCATATAAGTCATCAAAAGAGGGAATTGATGTGGTAATATTTAGTTTATGGGACATGTGTTTTGTTTTCCTTATAAACCTAATTAAAATGGTAATTCTCTTCTTTATTTACTGTTGATGCTGTGTATATTTGAAACTATTACTTAGTCTCTGATACTCGGTAGTGAATTTACCTTTAAATATTTTGCTTCAGTACAGGGGTTCTTAACCTTTAGTAGGTTTTTGGAGTCCCGTGATCCTCTGACATTTAATAATTTTATTTTTGTTTTTTGTTGTTGTTGTTTGTTTTGTTTTTCATTTATTTTTATTAGTTGGAGGCTAATTACTTTACAATATTGTAGTGGTTTTTGTCATACATTGACATGAATCAGCCATGGATTTACATTTAATAATTTTAAATCTCTGGACCTGACTGTATTTTTCTGGAAGAGGGTCTATAGCTTTCTTTAGATTCTCAGCAGGGGTCGACTTCCAGAAGAGATTAAGAACCACTGACCTGTTAGCTTAATTATTGTAGTTACCTCATTGGAACCTTCACTTTTAAGTAAGACGTGTTGAATAAACATTTCTTGGTCAACTCAACAAGTTGAAACAACATGGCATGGGACTTTTTTCTTTTTAGGAAAAAAAATAAAGCAAATTAAATTCTGGGCAGAGGACACCTATGGATAAGAGACAAAGAATAATACATGTGTCATAAGTGGCTGGGGTAAAAGATGATGAGGAATGATAGTGCAACTTTGAACATCAAAACCACTTTCAGGGAGCCAGAGACAGTAGTTGTTTAAAAAATTAGGATTTGAAAGGGGCTTTAGAATTGGCTAAAAATTTGAGAAGTATGGAATGTTTATGCAGTTGAAATGACATTAACATTTCCATTGAAGCTGATACAAGAGCATACTTAGTGCTTGAAAGATGGATTGTGGGTACAGAGTAGAGGTAAAAGGACTACTTTACAAGCTGCCAACAAGTATCTATTTTCTTTCAGAATAAATCTGGAAAGAACTAGATGATTAGAGCTCTGCTGATTTTCTCATCACCAGTAGTTTTTTTTTTAAAGTAATCGGTAACTTCTATGGGGTGCTTATAATGTACTAGGCATGTTCCAGTACTTCGCACACTTGAACTTGTCTAACCCTTAGAGCAGACTTACGGCCTAAGTGCCTGTCATCCCCACTTTACATGCAAGGAAACTGTAGGTGTTGTGTCCCCATCTTACTACTTAAGTGATCTTTTAACCAATTGGTCTTGATATTTCCTTATTGGACACTTTTCATTTATATAAAGAAGTGTCTGAGATTATTTACATCAAATGATGCACAAAAGAAAATGTTGTTTTTGGTTAAGTCTTGGGTATTTCAGTGACCTGAGTATGAGTGTATACTGCTAGCTTGATTGAAACCCTGGAAACTCTAGGAAATTTGAGGATGTTAATGAAAGATAAAGGGAAAATGTGAATACATTTTGCCAATAATTAGAAAAATCTTATTTTTCCTATCTGTAAAATGAAGAGGCTGATAGAGAATCTCTAAAATATTTTCCATTTCAAAAGTTCTGTGACTGTACAGTCATAATAAAATATCTGTATTATTGGATATGTTGGGCTACTTTGTGCTTATATTAGTAATTTAAATAAGATTCTCTTCATTTAGGTTTTGAGACAGATGAGAAAGTTGCCTTGGCAGGATCAAGAAGTGAAAGACTATGTGATTTGTTGTATGATAAACATCTGGAACGTGAAATACAACAGCATTCACTGTGTAGCCAACCTCTTAGCAGGACTAGTGCTCTACCAGGAAGATGTTGGAATCCATGTTGTGGATGGAGTTTTAGAAGATATTCGATTAGGAATGGAGGTAACAAAGACTTGCACCGAATTGAAATCTGTGGACAATTCAGACAGCTTTTAAATCCTATTATTGAAAAATAAGGATTTGAAAACCTTCCTTTTCCCATATGATGTCACTTACTGTTACTCTTTTGGAAATAATGATTTCTTAATAAACCCTACATGTGTCAGGTTTTCTAGTCTCCTTTCAGGCTAATGCTAAAATATTTTTTGCCTTTTTTTCTCAGTCCAGTTAAGGTTATTTTAGAAGAATATAGTAAATTTTTATTCTTTCTGGGTCACTCTTGGAGTTTCATGTTATAGGAACTCATAAATTTATTAATTAGGAGAATTGATACTCACTTGATAAGAATTTCTATAAGCAGCTTCCTCTTTCTATAAGCTTGTTTCCTTAAAATTCATGGATTACAGAGAAAATAAGTTACAGTGGGCTGATAGGGAGAATTACATTTTAACTTTTTTCATAAACTTAAATTCATTTAACAATTTAGTATTTAATATTTAACATATTCTATTTACTAAAACATTTTAAAGATAGACATTTCCTGCAGTGATTAAAAAAGGATACCTATTATTGGAAAAGAAGAAAAGAACCCATTAGTTTTTCTCTGTTCAGTGAGTGATGTTGTCAAGTGACAGAGATGATTTTTAGCTCTTCTCAAACACATTTCTGTTCATTAATGGAAATCTGCTTTTTTTTTTTTTCTTTTCTTCCTGCTTCAGGTTAATCAACCTAAATTTAATCAGAGACGTATCAGCAGTGCCAAGTTCTTAGGGGAACTTTATAATTACAGAATGGTGGAATCAGCTGTTATTTTTAGAACTCTTTATTCTTTTACTTCATTTGGTGTTAACTCTGATGGCTCTCCAAGTTCACTGGACCCTCCTGAGCACCTTTTCAGGATTAGACTGGTGTGCACTATTTTGGATACCTGTGGCCAGTACTTTGACAGAGGTTCCAGTAAACGAAAACTCGATTGCTTCCTTGTGTATTTTCAGGTATACAAATTAAAATATGAAGTTGGGCATCATATAATGCATTGCTTGTGTTACAAAAATATTAAAGCAGTGGAAATTCCCTGGTGGTTCAGTGGTTAGGACTCTGCGCTTTGACTGTGGAAGACCCAGATTCAATCTCTGATTGGGGAACTAAGATCCTGCAAGTCACACAGTGCAGCCAAAAAAAAAATCAGGGAAAAAACCATTAGAAAAGAATGCTGTATATATTATGTATAAGGTATATTCATGAATTCGATTTATTCTTGTAAGGATGCTTAGCTTGGGTATTTTAAATATATGATGTGTTCTATCATAAACATTCTGATTGCATTTTAAGTTTTGTGATTAATCATTACTTTGGGAAATTATTTTGGTACAGTTTATAAATTTGGTATAGTATGGGTTATTTTGTATTTCATACAGAAATTCATGAATTAAGTGTAATATTTTTACATTTGATAATATTCTTCTTACTCATCTGTGTTCTGGTTTTATATCTAAAATTCTTCTTTCTAAATTTTTTTTAAAGAGAAAAAAAAATCCTATCATTAACCCTACAAGAAATATTTATTCATTCTTTGTTTAACTCTTGGGTTGTGCTTTCCACGTCTTAAGTTACTTATGTTGTGATTTAGAGCAAATACAGTGTAAATTAAATCAGATACAAATACAGAGACATTTCTACAACTTCTTTGCAGTTTGTGTTCCAAAAGTTAGCGTGTAGGTTGGTTGTTTGGAATCCAGTCACTATTTCCCATTAAGTGCAATGTTATAAGTGCTATTAGCGGGGCTAGGTCCCTATTGAGTTCTTCAGATGTTACTGAAATAAAGTACAAACGGTAGCATTCAGTTCTGTTTGATCATTCCTTTCTATATAATCTATTGTTAGAGTTGTTTTCATTTATCCATTGACGAAGAAAATAAATCTAAAACTACAACTTGAAGTATCAAAAATACATCCACATAGTAACTGGGGTTAGGTGGGGGTAACTACTCTTTGGGTAAGAGCTGTTTTTTAACTTTCTTCTACCACTGTACCTTTGCATTAAAGGATAACTTATTACTCCCTTATTTTCTGAATTGATGAGCCAGCAATGGGGAGGTGGTGTTGCAGATTTGTGACTCAAGATTCCTTGTTGCATGGAAGGAATGCCTTAAGTTGGAGACGGCCTGTATTGAAAACAAGTTTTGCTGCAGAATGTCAGCTGTCACTGTCAGGGTGCAAAGGCAGGGCTCCTTCCAGAAGAGTATCCTTCTTTGCACTCACTCTGACATCACTGACAGAGAGAAAAGAGCCACTCAGAGATATTCAGAAGTAGGAAGAGACAAAAGTATTCTTCACATGATTAACAGCAGGATATACTTAGAGCATGGATATACTTAGAGCATGGAAGTAAGATGTGGGTGAGGCCTGGAAGAGGTGGTCAGTGTATGCTACCTGTAACAGTGTCCAGTTATGTACTGGAAGTCAGATAGAAAGATCCCCTGCAGCAGTGCTTCTAAACGCCAGTGTGCACACACATTGCCTGGGGATATTTTTACAGTGCAAACTGTGATTCAGCTGGCCTAGGATGGGGGCGTCCTAAGATTCCTTCCATATGTCTAACAAGCTCTGAGTTCCCACACTTGGAATAGCGAAGGTCTAGAACAAATTGGAGAGGATGATTAAACACCCAGAGAAATAGCTGTCTGTATACAAGTAAATTTGTGGGTTGTGCTTTTTAGTTAAACTTGAGAATTACAGGTACAAAATAGATCGAAGGAGCCAGGCTAGGATATGAGGGGGACTATATCTGAACAGTGCCATATACACAGTAGATGTTCAATAAATGCTTGTTGATTTCTGGTTTTTATATATTCAGTAACCCTATCTTCAGATGCTTTGACTCTTTAAAATATCAAAGCAGGTAGTATAGAGAAAATAAGTAACATTTATCAAAACCCTGGCCTTAAATTTGGTTGTTTTTGTAAAATTAAATAATTAAGCCCTTTTTGGGGTGTGGGAATGGAGTTTCTGCCTGGTTTCAGTACCTGAAAATGTATTTGGTGTTTATTTATAATTTTTCCTTGCTTTTAAAAAAGATTATGACAGATACAGTAAAAAATGTATTTAAAGTTACCAAATGGCTTAGAAACAGACTAGATGGAGGGAAATAAATGTGTTATGACCATTGCTATTGACCATTAATAAAAATGTAGGTGTCTTGTACAACTCTTTAGCTTAGTTGTTATAACTAGGTGAAATCACAATACAGATTATTATTTTAAACATTTTGTTATTAATTTCTTATAGCTAAATTTATTTTTCATTTGTTATCAGCGTTATGTTTGGTGGAAGAAAAGTTTGGAGGTTTGGACAAAAGACCATCCATTTCCTATTGACATAGATTACATGATCAGTGACACACTAGAACTGCTAAGACCAAAGATCAAACTCTGTAATTCTCTGGAAGAATCCATCAGGCAGGTACACGACTTGGAACGAGAATTCTTAATAAAACTAGGTAAGCATTAATTACAGAGAGAAAGTAAAGATGGTATTTGGCAGATTGTTTCTAGGATTTGCTTTATAATGTTTTCAGTTAGCTTTTACTTTTTGTATACTTTTAAGTTTTTTGATGCTGAGTGTTACATAATAGTGTTAGGTAAGAGCTGGGTGGCTTCTTCATTAAATAATCCCAAATTAGAGGAAAACAGTCATGTAAAACTTGAAGCAGATGATAGTGATGGAAAAACAATCCTGTCAGCCTCTCTTTAATTTTATGGTTTTTGTTTGCTAATTTTAAAGTCTACTTTTGATTAAAACATCTCATATACAGTATATATTTTCAGCAAACACTATTTCCTGAGACAGAGCAGGCTTGACACTATATAAAGGGAGTGCCAGTTAAAGAAGTTGAAACTATCCTACAGAATTTCAGACCCTTGTTACTGGGGGAGTTGTCCCTGTTTCTAAAGACTAGAGGACATGTGAGAAGCAAGCTGCCGGAGAATTGGTCTCTTTACTTTCTTAGTGTCCTTCAGCTATTGTTCTGGAAGAAGAGTTGGTAAGGAACTGTATGAGCTGACTAGCCTTGCCAGTGGAAATAATTGGAATAAGGTCGGGCCTTTCCAGTGTGGTTTGCTTGCTGATAGTTCTTAGCATGTTGTAGTCGTGTCAAAGTGACATGATTTCAGCCTATAAATTTAGTATTTTATTAGGAGATCCTTACCATGACCAGTTGTAATAATTGTATACATTTACTTTATGCATTTCTGAGAAACCACTTTTCATGGCAAAAGCACTGGTGATTCTTTTCCTCTAAAACTATTTTTTTCTTATTACATCCAGCATATTAATAGGGTTTCTTTCTCCAAGGCAAACCCTTTTTTGAAGAATGTGATTGCTGTTACCTATCTGAGCATTGCTTTAAAGATGCTACTGACTATGTAACTATTCACTTTCCTACTTATCAACCCATAAAGACACATGTGGTTCTTTTTATTGTTTAACTTTGTCCCAAGTAATCCACTTTCTTTTCCTTTTCAGATTTCTAACTGTATACAGTGATTATTTCAAGTAGTTTTTTTACCTACTTATTTATTTCATCTACTTTATATGCTTTGAAATAGTCTTGTTACCCAAAGACTTAAGAATGAATGGTAAAAAAAGAATGAATGGTACTCCCTGTATAGTGGACATAAGGAAATACTAATTGGATACCCAATTTGGTACCAGTAAAGAGAGCAGTACGATTTATCCCTTATAGAGTGAAGAATTAAAGAACTTGAGGCTTCTTTTGAAGAATCTGTCCTTCTTTAGAATGTGGAAAGGATAAAAAGAGGCCATCATTTGCAAATGCAGTTCTAAAGATGGTGTCAACTAGGATCATTATGCCCCCAAGTAGACCCGTTTTCCTTCTATTTTAGAGTTTAAATATCAGAGAGAAGGTACACGTGAATAAATCTATATTAAATCTGTTTCCTGATGCTAAACCATAAGATAATACAGCATCTTGCCTTTGGTATTTTTTTGTTTTCAAGCACTTGCAAATTTATTATCATTCTAATTTTATAGCAACCCAGTGCTAACTTAATAGAATTTTCTTATATTTAAAAAACCATTTTAATATTATTAAAAGTAGTAAAAATGTTCATGGCAGAAAATTTGAAGAATGCCAAGAAAACAAAAATCACTGTTATTTCATATGTAAGGATAATCATGTTATTAACATTTTGATGCATGTTCTGTTTAAAATTTTTTTCACATGTTTGCAATTTTATAACTGGACTTTTTTCTATGTAATATATTATGAAATTTTCTGACAAAATACTTTTCTAAATCTTTAATTTTAAAACAGCTGTCTTATTTTCCTTTGTGTGAATACATTAATTCTGTTTGACTTTGAGTTATCAGTTATCACTATAAATAACATTGTTATTTTTGTGTGTATCTTGATTTTCTCAAGATAGAGTTACTAGCTCTATGACCTTCTCTTTAAGAACAGAACCAACATGGTAGTAAGCAATGTAATATAATTCTGGTTTGGAAGTTCTGGATTATATCATAAGGAACAGAAATGGAGGTAATAAAAATTAAAAAAGTCATATGAATAAATTGCTTATGCAACAGAAGAGTATATTCATAAATTGTAAATAAAATTAGCAGAATAAAATGCCCAGAAGTTACCCCAGTTAAATACAAAATAATTTAGTGTATGATGAAATAGGAGTCTTAAAATAGTACAAGAGCAATAGGTGAGCATTTGGGAGGAAATAAACATCTTATATCATCAAACTCCAGATGTATTAAAGAGTTAAAAATTTATTTTTAAAAGGTTAAAAATAGATCTGATCATCAGATATTTGGAGAGATGTTAATTTTCCTAAATTTTAAAATGATACAGGAAGGCATGCATACATTGACATATTTGGGTGTTTAAAACTTTTGTACAATGAAAAAAAGAAGTTTGAAGTGAAAATAGCTCCTGTACCAAGGTATCATCACTTACATAAAGAGCACAGGCAAATTGATGAAAGAACACCCAGTAGATGAATGTATGTAACATAATCAGATAAGTGAGGGCAAGAAGAGTAGGTATTTTTATTAAGTACCATCTGTTTCCCAAAATTAAAGTGGAAGGTATTGTTTATACTTGACAAAGGAGTTAGGTAACGCCCAAATCAAAACACTGGGTTAACCGATTGAGCCAGAATTCAGACTGCTCTTTCTGACATACTGGGTGTGTGGGGAAAATGCTCAGCATGTCTAGTTGAGCAAAGAAATAACAGATGAAAACCATTTGGAAGAGAGGGAGTGTTACAATTATTACTGTCTCTGTTAAGAACAGGAAAACTGAGGCACCAAAATAGCTCACATTCAAGAGAACAATATTTGACTTTGGTCCCAAGTACACTTCATTCTGACCCATACTGTGAACATTTTGCTCTCTAGGTTTTACATTTTATTAACGCCATGTCCTTTATATGTACATTTTTATCTGTCTTGCTTATTTTAGACTGTGTCCTAGAGGTCAGCAACTGAATATTTTATTATCCAGCTTAGCAAATGCAAAATATGTTTATAAACTGCTTTTGAAACCAACTTGCAATGCAAATGAAAATGTGTTAGAAATAGTAGTATTTTCCTGACAAATTATGGCTGTCAAAACAAAGGTACTTACCACTACAGTTCTTCACATGACACATATTTTAAAGTGGCTATAAAAAAGGTGTAATGATATATTAGGCCATGTCAGTTTATCAGTGCTGTGATATTTTTAGGCTTATACGGTCCTGATTTTTAATTTTTTGCTTTTGATAACATAAAAGCCCAGTATTTTGCTTCCGTCCAAATAAATACATGAATAAAATAGTGAGTTAGTGGTATCAACCGGAGACAGCAGCTTTTTCTATCAGTATTATTATTTTTTTCCAAAACAGATCTCTCTCAGATTCATCCATCTCACCTCACCTCTTTAATTTCCAAACTTAATTGTACCTACTTTCATCACTTTGTAGTCTCTGTTTTTGTCAGTTCTTAATTAATTGCTTTGACTTAAGACACTGGAGTAATTTTTTGCTGTTAATTGTGTTAGTTTTTCAGACTTTCTGGACTTCAGTATACCTCATAGAATGAAAGGGCTAAATCCCATCATTACTAAAGTTTCTGTCTGCTCTACTTACGTATGAATAAACAAGAGTTTACTAAACACCTACTGTGTATTTATCAATATATGGCCTCTAATAAGTTTTGCATATATAAAAGAAGTTTTTTGTTCTCAAAGGCTTTATACGGTGACATAACATTTATTGAAATTATTAGAAAAACCATCGCATGGTATATCTTTAAATGCAGAGTGCTATGATCAATTCTCCAAGTAGCTTTAGGGACAAGTAGAGGAAAAGTAATACTCATTGAGTTTATGCAGGAAAGGAAGCTTAGACTGAATTTGAAGAATGTATAGGATTTAAAAGAACATATTGAAAAATATTCTATATTGAGAAGCAATCTGATGAGCAGGACCCCAAGGAAGTATGCTTTATGATACGGAAGAGTCTGCCCCAACTACAGGAGAAGGCTTGATTAAGACTTAGAAGTGTGGGGAAAAGATGAGGCTGTGGAATGTGTACCTTCAAAGTAGAGTGTAGTTTGGAGCTCAGAATGATAATATTACTAGGCAGTGAGATGTGGATGAATGTGGGAGGTGGCCCAGATTCACACCAGGGTGTTGCCTCTGGAGGAGCACACTGTTAGGAATGAAAAAACAGCTCTGTGATGACACACATGTTAGAAGTGTCACCATGTATCTGCCTCCTCTCGGTCTTAATTTGCAATTATTCAAATTAATAGCCAAATGTGATTTCTGCATTAAAGCAATGCAATTTTATTGTATCTCTTAAGTTTTTAGAGATTCTAGAAATGCCATTTGATAAAATATGTGACCACGGTTGCCTTGTGTGTGGCTAAAGCTGCACCATATGTGCTGTACTGTTTGTTCACCTGAGACTGAGATAGTTTGAAGCTCTGAGAAAGTTTAAAAAAAAAATGTTTTTTTTTTTTGCTAGTTTTTAAGAAATCAGTCTGTGCTCCTAGGACTAATTTAGTTTTTTTTAGTGGTTCTTAAAATAGCTTTAAATTCTCTTCTTAATTTACTGAACTGAGAACATAACTTGAAGTATCTTCATGTATACTTTAAATGGTATAATATTCACTGTGGAAGATTTGCCTTTATCTTGTTTTGTAAAAGTCTTTTCTATTTTCTTCTCACTTCAAGGCCTAGTAAATGACAAAGACTCTAAAGATTCTATGACAGAAGGAGAAAATCTTGAAGAAGATGAAGAAGAAGAAGAAGGAGGAGCTGAAACAGAGGAACAATCTGGAAATGAAAGTGAAGTGAATGAGCCAGAGGAAGAGGTGATGACTTTTATTTACAGCAGATAAATAACATTTGTGCAAGAGTATTTAGGTTATATGAGCCAAAATTTTCTTCATAAAAGAAGATCTTCCTCTTAGTTTTATTAGAGTAAATGTAACTAGTAGTCTATGTCTATTATAAGACTGTTGGATTAATTAAGAGGGGTTTTTTATGAGTAAGAAAATACTGATCATAGGATTTTTTAAAATTACTATCATTAAGAGCATTTTCAAAGAGCAGTTTTAGGTTCACAGCAAAATTAAGGGGAAGATAGCAAGATTTCCTGTATATCACCTTCTCCTATCTACTCACACAATCTCCCCCAATCAGCATCCCCCACCAGAGTGGTACATTTGTTATAATTGATGAACCTACAGCAACACGTCATAATCATCCAAGTCCATCATTTACATTATGGTTAACTCTTGGTGGTATACTTTCTATGAGTTTAGGTAAAAGTATAATGACATGTAACCATCAGTATGGTTAGGATTTTTATTTAATAAGCAATTTGAAGACAAAAAATTATTTGATCTGCTCTGTAACTTAATATCATTTTTGAGTGTGGACTTTTTAATCTGTGGGTTTTATGAAGAAATTGCTGACTAGATATTAGTAACTTTCTTTTCCCCAGATCTGATAGTATAGGAAATCTGAAAATCATCATGTACCATCATCTTTGTTATTACAGTTCTGTTAGGCCAGACTGTATGAAATGACTGTTCTACCAAACTGTCATTTTTATGTATGATTCAACATAATAGTTCTAATTCTTTCCACTTTTTCCTTCTAAACCTGCTTTAAGTTTTAAAAATTCCACCTAAAAGATTGAGTGTCTGGGGTTTGTTTCATCATCTGGAAGTAGACTGGGCAGTGAATTAGGGATGTAGAAGACACTAACTGACCATTAGCTCTCCATTGTTCAGTTGTTTAATGAATAAGTAAGGGTTTGTTATGCTATTCTGTCTACATTAATATATATTTAAAGAAAATGGAAAGTCGGGTAAGAATAACAATAACATACTGATGAATAAAATTTATACCATGAAATTAGGACCTTCACTTTTTAAGCTTATAATATGACATCATGTGTATGGCTTTTTGTGCTTGGATGCTAAAAGCATTTAGGAGAGGGTGATTGTTTACAAGTGGGATTTTAATTAAATACTGAAAAAGTTTAAATGTATAATCAATACTTATAATCAATATAATGTTTTATGGAAATGGAATTTATTAAATTTTTAAGTTTAGATTTATAGTAAATAGAATGCAAATGTTTGGAGGTTATGAGTTGTTTAATGTATAAAGGAGTATAGATTATTTAAGGCATTCATAAGATAGATTCATAAACTGGGTTTTTTTGGCTGTGCTGGGTCTTCATTGCTGCACATGGGCTTCTCCAGTTGTGATGAGCGGGGGGTGTTCTCTGGTTCCACTGCGACGGCCTCTCATTGTGGTGGCTTCTCTTGCTGCTGAGCACTGCCTTTCACGTGCACAGGCTTCGTAGTTGCGGTGCATGGGCTTAGTTGCCTCACAGCATGTGGGATCTTCCCAGACCAGGGATCAAATTGGTGTCCCTTGCCTTGCAAGGTGGATTCTTAACCACTAAACCACCAGGGAAGCCCTAAACTAGATTTTTAAAAAGCTTCATTTAGCATGAAAGAAAAACGACCCATGCATGCATACATGCTAAGTCACTTCAGTTGTGTCTGATTCTTTGCCGCCCTATGGACTGTAGCCTGCCAGGCTCCTCTGTCCTAGGAATTCTCCAGGCAAGTATACTGGAGTGGGTTAAATGACCCATAATATAAGGTAATTAAGATTTTCTATAGTTAGAAGTAAAAATCCCTAAGTCTCTGTTTCTTTTATCCCTAAAGGTCTGTAGCTATTAATGAACAATTTGTTTAATTTGACTACATAGCAAATAGCTTCACTGTTAAAAATGAATGATTATATAAAAGGCAGCTTGTTTGTTTGGCTTTTAAAATTGGCTGGGCTTCCTGTGTGGCTCAGCTGGTAAAGAATCCGCCTGCAATGTGGGAGACCTGGGTTTGTTCTATCCCTTGGTTGGGAAGATCCCCTGGAGAAGGGAAAGGTTATCCACTCTAGTATTCTAGCCTAGAGAATTCCATGGATTGTATATGGGGTTGGAAAGAGTTGGACTCGACTAAGCGACTTTCACTTTAAAATTGGCTAGCATTTATAGGCAGTGGAAATGCATCTTTATATTGGGTTATTTTGCTACCACTTTTCCCCCAGTTTTATTGCGATATAGTTGATAATAGCATTGCATTAGTTTAAGGTGTACATACAGCAGTGATTTGATAGAGAGAGACAGAAATGATTACCATAATAAGTTTAGTTAACATCCATCACCTCACATAGTTAAAAATGTTTTTTCTTGTAATGAGAACTATTAAGATCTACTCTCTTAGCAAACTTCAAGTAAACAGTACACATTGTCATCACTTTCTCTTTCCAACCTGACACCTCCCCTAAAGTAGATATAAATAAGCTGATAAAAATTTAGAACTGGAATATGTTTCTATAATACATTTCTATGAAATAGACATTGCTATATTTTCTAAAAAATGAGGTCATAGAAACATTCAATTATATAATTTAAATTGGCTTATTAAGTATTTTATAACAACAAAAGGAAATGAGAAGTGTAGACTAATATTCCATTTTGTATTTTTAAACTAATCTTATGGCTGTCTATGGATTTTGCACTAATTTGATAAAGAGTCTAATAAGTGAAACATCCTCAGTAAATGTGACATTAAAGAATAGCTCATTTTCCTATAGATTCCTCATTTGAATAGTTGTGATATTTTCTCCAAATGCATTTCACCTTTTAAAAAGTGAACTTTATAATTTAAAAAATGGTATTTTAAACTATTTCTTTTCTGGTTGTAAACTGGATATTATACATAATATATGTGAATTTGCTAAATGGAAAAACATTCAACAGGATGACTACTGAGCCTTGGCTGGGAGGAGATGTGAAAGGAATATGCTTGGTTTGCTTAAGTAATCCTGAGAAAGAAGAACGGAACTGGAGGAATCAGTCTGCCTGACTTCAGACTATACTACAAAGCCACAGTCATCAAGACAGTATGGTACTGGCACAAAGACAGAAATATAGATCAATGGAACAGAATAGAAAGCCCAGAGATAAATCCACGAACCTATGGTCACCTTATCTTTGACAAAGGAGGCAAGGATATACAATGGAAAAAAGACAACCTCTTTAACAAGTGGTGCTGGGAAAACTGGTCAACCACCTGTAAAAGAATGAAACTAGAACACTTTCTAACACCATACACAAAAATAAACTCAAAATGGATTAAAGATCTAAATGTAAGACCAGAAACTATAAAACTCCTAGAGGAGAACATAGGCAAAACACTCTCCGACATAAATCACAGCAGGATCCTCTATGACCCACATCCCAGAATTTTAGAAATAAAAGCAAAAATAAACAAATGGGACCTAATGAAACTTAAAAGCTTTTGCACAACAAAGGAAACTATAAGCAAGGTGAAAAGACAGCCCTCAGATTGGGAGAAAATAATAGCAAACGAAGCAACAGACAAAGGATTAATCTCAAAAATATACAAGCAACTCCTCCAGCTCAACTCCAGAAAAATAAATGACCCAATCAAAAAATGGGCCAAAGAACTGAACAGACATTTCTCCAAGGAAGACATACAGATGGCTAACAAACACATGAAAAGATGCTCAACATCACTCATTATCAGAGAAATGCAAATCAAAACCACAATGAGGTACCATTACACACCAGTCAGGATGGCTGCTATCCAAAAGTCTACAAGCAATAAATGCTGGAGAGGGTGTGGAGAAAAGGGAACCCTCTTACACTGTTGGTGGGAATGCAAATTAGTACAGCCACTATGGAAAACAGTGTGGAGATTTCTTAAAAAGCTGGAAATAGAACTGCCATATGACCCAGCAATCCCACTTCTGGGCATACACACTGAGGAAACCAGATCTGAAAGAGACACGTGCACCCCAATGTTCATCGCAGCACTGTTTATAATAGCCAGGACATGGAAGCAACCTAGATGCCCATCAGCAGATGAATGGATGAGGAAGCTGTGGTACATATACACCATGGAATATTACTCAGCCATTAAAAAGAATTCATTTGAATCAGTTCTAATGAGATGGATGAAACTGGAGCCCATTATACAGAGCGAAGTAAGCCAGAAAGATAAAGACCATTACAGTATACTAACACATATATATGGAATTTAGAAAGATGGTAACGATAACCCTATGTGCAAAACAGAAAAAGAGACTCCGATGTATAGAACAGACTTGCGGACTCTGGGAGAAGGCGAGGGTGGGATGTTTCAAGAGAACAGCATTGAAACACGTATATTATCTAGGGTGAAACAGTTCACCAGCCCAGGCTGGGTGCATGAGACAAGTGCTCGGGCCTGGTGCACTGGGAAGACCCAGAGGGATTGGGTGGAGAGGGAGGTGGGAGGGGGGACCGGGATGGGGAATACATGTTAAAAAAAAAAAAAAAGATACACTATGGTTGTGATAAAAAAAAAAAAAAAAAAAAAAGAAATGGAATTGGAATTGTTACTCTCCCACCCAGGAGAGTAACCTTAACCACCCTTTCCCATGACTATCCTCCAAACATAGGAGAACATTTTCAGAAAGAGAAGATGGGTTGATTATAAAGTAGTAAGGACAATGTGTAGAATATTCTATAAATATTTGCCTCAACTGAGAAAAGAACAGTGCTGGAGTGGAACTCTTCAGAAACATTGTACTTTTCTTTTCCATCTTGCTCCACAACTCTTCCAAGTTCCGGATCGCCTTTTGAAGTTATTCTTAACACCTCAGTTCAGTTCAGTTGCTCAGTCCTGTCCAACTCTTTGTGACCCCATGGACTGCAGCACGCCAGGCTTCCCTGTCCATCACCAGCCCCCAGAGTTTACTCAAACTCATGTCCTTTGAGTCGGTGATGCCATCCAACCATCTCATCCTCTCGTCTCCTTCTCCTCCCACCTTCAACCTTTCCCAGCATCAGGGTCTTTTCAGATGAGTCAATTCTTTGCATCAGGTGGCCAAAGTAATATAAAAATTGGTGAAAGAAAAAAAAATTCATGCATTTTAGCTTAGTTTTTGAATAGGAAGTATCTTTCCAGTGTTAAGAAATGATTAATTTTTTGCAAGCCAATTTAAGTGCATTTCTAATGCAAATTTAATTTTGAATTATAGAATTTTGTCAAAAAAGTTAATGCGTTTCTGTACTTTGCTCAAATATTTCCATTTCAGAAATTCTAGAAGTTTTCAAATATCTATAAAGTATTAATAGTTTAGATTTTTGAAATTAATTGCTAGGTATACTGAGTGTATTATAACAAATTTAAATCATTTGTTTTCCCATAGGAATTATTTCTCATTCACTTTATTTCTCTCAGCACAATGAGAAGTGCAGTATTTTTTTTCTTTTCTTTTATGGAACAAAGTGGGAGTAAATTGTGTTGAAAGGTTACTCAGATGGAATGCTGCCACCGTGTGGCTGTGTTTTTTGGTTTTGGTTATGGTTTCTTTTTTGTGTCTCTCTGAAAATCCATTGGAGTTCTTCTCAGTCTTCCATTTGAAGAGGAATTTTGGCTGATAGACGAGGATGTGGGGGTACTGACAGGAGAGGATAGGGGAGATGTAATACTTGAAAGCCACCAGCAAGGGGAGTCAGAATATCTAGCTCTTCGGCTTAAAAAAGCACGTGTCCTTGGGCAGGTAACTTAACTTTTCCAAGCCTTAGTTTTTTCACATACAAAAATGAAGACAGTAAAGCTTATCCGTCCTTCTTCAGAACTGGGTGAACAGCAAAATGCTGTGAGAGTACACTCCACCCTGAGATGCTTTATACAGTGAGATACTTTATAAAATGTAGTGTCATTGCTTTCAAATGGTGATGATATTAAATTTGAATTGTCAGTTTTCATTGCAGAGTTACATGGGTATTAAAGAACTGCTGTGAGGAAAATCAGTCTCAAGTTTGTTAGGAAGGAGAAAAATATGAAAGGTGCAAGAAACTTGTTCCTTGTGGAATTCATGGATGAGTTTCTAAAAAGGATCTTTGTGTTACTAGGTCAGTGGAAGATGTAAAATAGGTTTTTTAGCTACTGGTGTGTAGTAAGAGTTGCCAGCTGACTTTGCCCTACATTCTAGGCAGATTGCATAAAAGGCTGAAGCTGGAGAATAATAAATAGTTATACATAAATTTTAACATCGTTTTAAGGCATGTAAAATTATTAGTAAAGTTTTTCATAAGTTTTAATCCTCTACAAATGTTAAACAATTTCAGGAGGGTTCTGATAATGATGATGATGAAGGAGAGGAGGAAGAGGAAGAGAATACAGATTATCTCACGGATTCAAATAAAGAGAATGAAACTGATGAAGAAAATACTGTACGTATCATTAAAACTTTGCTCTTTGAAATTGTGCATCATTTTCATAATATTTCAATTTTAGCCACCAAAGTTGGTGTTTGTGATTATTGAAATATTTCTTTAGAAATTCATTTTTGATTTGTTTTCTTATCTAAACACTTTTCTTTATCTGCAAGTTCTTTGAATATTTAATAATGTTATTATTTTACCTAACTCATTCTTTGAGTTATGTTGACAAGTTATCAATACAGAAGGCTCTGCCATATAAAACATTACAGTTAGAATTCCCAGTTTGAATTGTTTCTGTTTTGTTTTAATAAGGAGGTAATGATTAAAGGAGGTGGACTGAAACATGTACCTTGTGTAGAAGATGAGGACTTCATTCAAGCTCTGGATAAAATGATGCTCGAAAACCTTCAGGTATTAAATGTTGCTCTATTCCAAAGTACTTGATACAAAATATTGCAGCACACTTGATTGTGATTGGAGAGTCTCTGTTATCTAAACATTTATCTCTGCAGCAGCTTTTCCTAATTTAGTCAGTTTCAGGCTGCCAATACTTCTAGCATCCTACATCGTGATTTGCTATGCTTCTTTGAAATAGAATAGAAAAAATAAATGTTATCAGACTTGGAGCAGAGTAATTTTATTGTATCATCCTCTGCCTTTTCTCCTCTTTCTAAGACCCTTTACTTGCAGTTTGTTTAGGAGTCAAACTACAGAAGATTAGAATTTTGGGAAATTTAATTTAGTAAATTCTTTAGTTTGACTTATAATTTGAATAACTTGTATATAAATATCTAGAAGAATATTGGTTATTTGATGTTTAAAGTACTCATATTAAGATACTGGATTTTATTAAAAGCTCCATCTTGCAGTGATTTAACTAATTGTGTTTTATGTTTTTCTGTAGTTAGGAGTAAAATCCCATGAACTATTTACTTCAGCCCTACTTATAGCTATTGTTAAGCCCTTTGGTGATTTGAGGGCTTTTGTCATTGGAGTGGTAGGTGAAAGCTCCATGGAGTGGGCTTAGTGGGAAACGGAAAAGGGAGAAGTGGACATACTGGATACAGGTAGAGCTGATTTGAGAAGTTTTTACTAGAAAGGGGAGAAAAATGGGCATGTGGCTAGAGAAAGTCAGTTGAAAGAGGAGGGGTGTTTTTAAGATAAAAGATTTATGGAGTACATGCTGATGGAATAATCCTTTAGAGAAGATGGATTTTACTTTCATTGTTGCTACTAAGGCCAAAAGTTGTGATAATGTATAAATTAGCAGTGCAGGTACATTAGTCTCAGGAACCAAAAGAACAGAATACTTTGGTAGAGTGTAAAGGAAGAGCCTTTTCTAGATGAGATAATCAGGGAAGACATCTCAGATTATGACTTTTAGACAAGACAGGAACAGAGGAACCACCTAGGTGAAAAATTAGGATTAGTGTAAAAACTGTGTCAGAGGTCCTGATCAGGGCAGAAAAGTACTTGTTTGAAAAATTTTAAAAAGGGCTCCAGTACTAATAGAACATTGTCTGTGAGAAGGTCACAGCATGAGACAGGTAATTGGGAGTGGCACAGTCCTTTAAGGAGCTGGTTCAGACTGTGTGTTAGTCGCTCAGTCATCTCCGACTCTTTGCAACCCCACAGACTGTAGCCCACCAGGCTCCTCTGTTCACAGGATTCTCCAGGCAAAAATACTGGATTGGCTTGCCATTCCCTTCTCCACAGAATCTTCCTGACCTAGGGATCAAACCCTGGTCTCCTGAGAAGGGACTAAAAGCAGAGACTAACCAGGGATGTGGTTATAAGGCTGTGGTGGTAACCTAGCTGAGAGATGATGGTCATCTGTCTAGGAGAGTGGCAGGGCACATGGACAGAAGTCTGGATTTGAAAGCTATTTAGGAGGCAGAATGAACTGGATTTATTTCGTGCTTGATTGGGTAGCAGTATGTGGGGCCCAAGGAGTCAAGGATGATACCCAGTCTTATGGCTTGGACCACTGGCTTGTCTCTAAGAAACAGGAGAGTGCAAGTAAGAGTTATACTTGGTAAGTTTGAGGAGCCTGTAAGGCGTCAGTGGAAATGTCTAGAGAGCAGAAGAGAAACATAAACAGAGCAGTTGTTAGAGTACTTTTAAAGCCATGGCAGTAACTGGCTCATCCAGATGTAAAGTGTGGAGACAGAAGAGAAGCAGGTTCAGGGTTGAGCCCTGACAAACCCGAACATTTAGAAAAGGTGGAAAAGCTGATGAAGTCAAAGGAATGGGAGATTTATGTGTGGTTCCGTGGTCATCGCTTACTGAGAGTTCTTAAGAAGTGACCTGGAAGGGTGAGAGGATGTGATCAGAGAGGAGGAAAGTTTGAATTCATATTTTTGCAGTTGTGTTTATGTATAGGAGAAAATTTCATCCACTATTAGGCCCCAATTTTAAATCATTATCAGATACCCAAAAGGAACAGTTGTACAGACTTTTTCCTTTTGCTAAAAATCATAGGAAGACACAGTATTGTGAAGACATCATTTCTCCATAAATCATGTCCTTAAATTTCATGCAGTCCTCATTCTGTCCCATCAGGGAAATTTGGGGGATGGGGTGAGGATTGGAGGAAGAGAATAGGGACATGGATGCAGAATGAACCTAATGAAATTTTTCTTAAATTCTTAAAGAATAACTGAACAGTTAAGAAACCTGCAGAAAATAAAGTGTGACATACAAGATAATAAACATTTTAAACATATAGCAATCTTGGTACAGGAATGGATAGATTAATCAAACAGAGGAGGGTCTACAATAGACCTTGGATTGCATTGCGTGTGTACTCAGTTGTGTGTAACTCTTTGAGACCCCATGGCCTGTAGCCCACCAGGCTCCTCTTTCCATGGGATTGTCCAGGCAAGAATACTGGAGTGAGTCTCCAGAATCTAAAATAGACCTTAGAACATGGCAGTTTAATCTTGATGAAGTTAACATCTCAAACCATGTGAGGGAAAATGGTATCTTCACCAAATGGTCAATAAAAAATAAAGCTGGATTTCTATTTTTAATTTCCACCCCAGAATTAATTGCAGATCTCTCAAATAATTTTAATGACTGTAAAGACTGTTGAGCACTGCATTGACTTTATGTTTATTCTCCATCCAGTGCCGTTAGCTGTTAGATACTGTTCGTATTCCCATGTTTCAGTTAAAGAAAGAGGCTTGGAAAAAACAACAAAAAAAACTTGCTTAAAGTGAAAGGGTAGTGAGTGGTATAGTCTCTTTATCAACCATTTGTTACACTACTTTCCAACACAAAATGCCACAGAAATCTTTTAAGAAATAACTAACCAGGAGAAAAAAATCTATAGCTGACACAACGCAAGAGAGATTGTACAAACCAATGAGAAGAAATGAATAACTCATTTTGTTGTTAGAATATAGTGCTAAAGCTGACTGACAATCAAATGACAAGCAAACTATGAAGGGCCTTTTTATCAGGTCATCAAATATTAAGATTTTAAAAGTGATGGTACCTATTGTGGTTAAGTGTGGGTAAACATCTATACTTGGTAGATGTAAATGAGCCTAGCCTTTTTTAGAGAGAAATTTAGTAAACCTGTCAGAATGACTTGCCATTTGATCTAGAAGTGTACCCTTAATAGTCTCTCAAGTGCATGAAAAGTGTGACATTGTGATAGAAAAAAAAAGTCCAAGCTGTCAGTAGAGGGCCAGTAAAATAATTAGCACTGTACTAGATGCCCAAGATACAGAATCTAAAAGAGGAAGAAACATGTAAGTTTAGTATAGAATAATAGTCATCATGATTGCTCCTGTTTACATGTGTTACATTGTATATGTCATGTTATATATGTTTCATATATGTATATATGCAAGAAAAAATCTGGAAGGACAGGACCCATTGTTAATGGTTGTTGCATCTTAGAGTCAGGCAGAGGGAGATAGGAATTATAATTCCTATAGGTATAAGCTGTAGGAATTGGTATGGACACACTTGATAATATATTTTTGTATTAGTTTATAAAAAGAATATGTTCATTTTATAATCAGGAAAGATAATTTACATATCAAGGTTCCTCTGACATGATTGTTTCAAATTTTAAGTTAAAAAGTCTTTATAAATAATCTTATGAACTTGGAAGAACTTCAAGCAAATTCTAACAGTTGGAGCTGAGAAATCAAAAACCATAAAACCTTACACCTTTATTACCGTTTTGCTGATTTGCAAGTCTCTTGCAAATATGGTGCCTATATCAAAAGACTATTTAAATGGCAGTAAAGAAGTTTTAATACCTTCATACCCTATTAGCATTACTTGCTTAGCTTTGAAATATCATGTTCAGTTCTTTCCTCATTTGTGTTCCATTCATTCAGACTTAGAAAATTATTTGCAGTTCCCTAAATGCACCTGCTGTTTCACATCTTTGCTTTTGCACCTGTTCTTCCCCTGTGTAAATTCTCAGTGTATCCCCCAAACTGCTCTTTTACCATCTGGTTGGAAGAAGGCCTGTGAAGTCTTTAATGTTCTCAGATGTCCCGTTTTCATTCAGCCTTTTGTGAAAGCACCCACCCACTCTCAACCAGTCGCATGTAGTCACTGTATTGTACACGTTATACACAACTCAGATGAATCGTAATTGATTTCCCTTTCTTACTTAACAAGCTTATGAGCTCTTTGAGAACAGAGGTTATCTTTTTAATACTAGTATCTCCAGGCTTAATGTGTAGTAAGTCACCCATCGGTGAAGGTTTGTTTCAATAATTGGTTGATAAATCCAGTGTAAATATTAAAAAGAATTGATACTAACAAGTAGGAAGTTGTCACCCTTAAATACTGAGCACTGACTGCATGTGCTCACAGCAGGAAGCACCAGAGAAAGGGCCCAGTGATGAACCTATGGGTCAGGTAGGGGTTCACATGGGTAAGGAGGCAGTTGTGGCCCATGATAATTACAAAGGAAGATGTGTGCCCTAAGGGTGAATGAAAGGACACAGTGTACTCACACAGGACAGTAGAACCTGCAGCACTGTGTGTGTGAGTTTGGGAGAGGCCTGACCCATCAGCAGGAGCCAAATCATATGGTTCCAAGGCATGTGTGCAGGTGGGCGGCGACTCTGGTTTCAGAAAGATTACTTGGCTCTAATGATTATTCTAAGAAATGTAGCACTGAAGGAATTACAAACTATTTATTGAGCTATTTACATTTTTTTCATTTCTGTCTTTAAGCAACGAAGTGGCGAATCTGTTAAAGTGCACCAGCTTGATGTTGCCATTCCCTTGCACCTCAAAAGCCAGCTAAGGAAAGGACCCCCACTTGGTGGTGGGGAGGGAGAGACAGAGTCTGCAGACACAATGCCGTTTGTCATGTTAACCAGAAAAGGCAATAAGCAACAGGTGAGAATCTGTCCACAGTGTATTCCCAGTTTGTTGGTAGTTACCAAGTGTAAGTGGTAACTTTGTTTTATGGGTTCTTGCTTACAGGGGGAAAAGACTGGTATTCAGTGGTAGAAATAATTTTATCTGTTATGTGCACAGAAGACACATGTAACTTCCATCAAGTAGATGGGTGTTTTTTAATGGAAAGAACATTTAAAATTTAAGTCATATGCATTTGTTAGAAGATACACATACTGACTTTGAGTAGGAAGGTTTCATCAGTAAGCTCACAGTGAAAAAGGAAAGGAGGGTGATGGCAGATAATCTTGAAAAAAATGCTCACTTGCCAAATTGCTTTTGGAATAAAAAAACCATTGTTTTCGGACCCCTGATCCTTCTCCTCCATTCTCCTTAAACCACCTCCTCTTTCTTTCCCTTATCTCACAGATGGCCCTCACAATCATTTCCCTGTCTGCTAAGCTGTCACTTTGATTCATACATTCAGTCCTCAAATATTATTTGTCTGCTCTGCCAAATACTAGCCCAAGTGTGAGGCTACAGTGATGAACAGGATGTAGCCCCTGGCCATGTGAGCACACACCAGCTGAGGGAGAGAGACAAGCATAATATTTGCTGATTGTGGAAAGTGCTCTGAAGGAAATGGCCTGGCTCCCAGATCTAACTCGAAGATACATCATTTATTACCAGTCCTGTTAAAAAAAAAAAAATTCATACTTTATTATTTCTGAGTTTAAGCTGCCTCTTAGAGTTGATGGAATCTTAGGATAATTGACAGCATTTTTTTCTGTTTTAGTGGTATGTAAAATAATGGTGCATCTTATAATTAACAGAAGCATCTATGATATATGGTGGCTAGAACAGCTTGTCAGACCAGTCTGATACCTGGTTCCCACGTTCATTTAAATTGTCATTTAACAGCTACTTGTTGTTGACTTGTTACGTACCAGGCACTGTTCCACGTGCAGAAATACAGCAGTAATAAGTCCCTCCTCTCTTCGGAGCTTTCATTCTAGTATTGAGAGGCAGACAAGAAATAATGTAAGGTTAAGGACAGTGCTCTGTTGGAAGATAAAGCAAGTTAAGAGGATAGGAAACTGAGGTGGGGAGGAGGTGATCAGAGGGAGACTGCTGTTGTAGAGGGTGACCAAGGAAGGCCCGGAATATCCTCTGTGAGGGGAGGGACATTCTGTTCCTTCCCTTCCAGAAGAGGCTCAAGGAGATGGTGCCTACCTTCATCGTTTACCTCTGCTTTGTCAGGTAATTTCTTGTTACTCAAAAGATCAAAGTTGTAGAGCATACCATCATTTTGCTGTAGTGCAAATAAGTCTTGAGATGTGAAAGCTGAGTACCAGTTAGGATCACAGAATGGAGGGCTGGGAACAGGCTTTCCATCGTGACTCACATTTAAATAGTTAACTTGACTTCGCTTCTGAGCACTGCTGGATCTTTGTCAGATATTCTTCATAATTCCTTTCCAGGCAACAGGACTTTCCTTCATCCTAGACTTCAGGGTTATCAAGGTTTTATGAAAGCTCCCCACTTTCTCACCTTCACGCCAGAGTTGAGCCCTGACATTTCCCCTCTCCCTCATCCTCCACCCAGTCCCTAGAAAAATAAGGGTTTGTTTTTGATCGAGACCCTAGACTTGGTGCTGGAGTCTTTGTAAAAGTACTCTTTTTAGCATTTGGAACTGCTGGTTCACCATGGCTAGCAGGATTCTCGAAGTCTAGAGTTTCTGCTTTTCTTTTTAGGGATAACTTAGTTCTCTGAGTAGACTTTTCCTGTTTGTTTGTTTGTTTTTTAATAATAATTGTCAAGGGCAGTACATGGCAACTTCCATTTCCATAGGCTGAACTATCACATGAGAATCGGTTCCCATTCCTGTACAGCTCCTGAACTTTCTTTGCTACATTGACACGTTTACTAATCCTTGCTTTTTCTTATTTAAAAGGAGCTTTAGGAATATCTTTCTGTGAAGATCAGCTTGTTGTTGTTGAGTCACCCAGTCATGTCCGACTCTTTGTGACCACATAGACTGCAGCACACCAGGCCTCCATGTCCCTCACCATCTCCTGGAGTTTGCCCAAGTTCATATTCATTACATCGGTGATGGCATCCAGCTGTCTCATCCTCTGATGCCCTCTTCTGCTCTCCATCTTTCCCAGCATTAGGGACTTTTCCAATGAGTCGTCTGTTCACATCTATGACCAAAGTACTGGAGCTTCAGCTTCAGCATCAGTCCTTCCAGTGAATATTCAGGGTTGATCTCCCATAAGATTGACTGATTTGATCTTCTTGCTGTTCAAGGGACTTTCAGGAGTCTTCTCCAGCACCGCAGTTTGAAGGTATCAATTCTTTGGCTTTCTGCCTTCTTCATAGTCCAGCTGCCTCAACCATACGTGACCACTGAGACAATGAGGTAGCTGGATGCCATCCCCAATGTAATGAATATGAACTTGGGCAAATTCCAGGAGATGGTGAGGGACATGGAGGCCTGGTGTGCTGCAGTCCATGTGGTCACAAAGAGTCGGACATGACTGGGTGACTCAACAACAACAAGTTGATCTTCACAGAAAGATATTCCTAAAGCTCCTTTTAAATAAGAAAAATCAAGGCTCAGTATATGTGTCAGTGTAGCAAAGAAATTTCAGGAGCTGTGCTTTTCAACACACTATCTAGGTTTGTCATGGTTTTCCTGCCGAGAAGCAGTTGTCTTCTCATTTCATGGCTGCAGTCACTGTCCGCAGTGATTTTGGAGACCAAGAAAAGGAAATCTGTCACTACTTCCACCTTTTCCCCTTCTGTTTGCCATGCGGTAATGGGGCCAGATGCCATGATCTTAGTTTAATATTTACTCTTAAGCTGGCTCTTCCACTCTCATCAAGAGGCTCTTTAGTTCCTCTTAGCTTTCTTCCATTAGAGTGGTATCATCCACATATCTGAGGTTGTTGATGTTTCTCCTGCCTATCTTAATTCCAGCTTGTAATTCATCCAGTCCTCCATATCTCATGATGTGCTCAGTGTTTGGTTAAACAAACAGGGTGAGAGCAGACAGCCCTGTCGTACTCCTTTCTCGACCTTGTATGGATCAGTTGTTCCATACAGGGTTCTCGCTGTTGCTTCTTAACCACATGCAGGTTTCTCAAGAGACAGGTAAAATGGTCTGGTATTCCCATCTAAGAGCTTTCCACAGTTTTGTCATAATCCACACAGTCAAAGACTTTAGCGTTGTCGATGAAACAGATGTTTTTCTGAAATTCCCTTGCTTTCTCCATATAATCCAGCAAATATTGGAGATTTGATCTCTTATTCCTCATCCTTGTCTAACCCCAGCTTGGACATCTGGAAGTTCTTCATTTGCATAATCCTGAAGCCTAGCATGTAAGATTTTAAGCATAAACTTACTAGCATGGGAGATGAGTGCAATTGTCTGATCGTCAGTACATTGTTTGGTACTACCCTTCTTGGGGATTGGGATAAGGATTAATCTTTTCCAGTCCTGTGGCCACTGCTGGGTCTTCCAGATTTGCTGACGTAATGAATGTAAAACCTTGATGGCATCATTTTTTAGAGATTTGAATAGTTCTGCTAGAATTTCATTGCCTCCACTGGCTTTATTAACAGTAGTGCTTCTTAAGGCCCACTTGACTTTCCACTCCAGAATGTCTGGCTCTGGGTGACTAACCACAACATCATAGTAATATTATTAGTTCATTAAGATCTTTTTTATACAGCTCTTCCATGTTTGTTTCCATCTCTTCTTGATCTCTTCAGCGTCTACTAGGTCTGTACCGTTTTTATCCTTTGTTGTGCCCATCTTTGGGCAGAATGCTCCCTTGATATTTCCAGTTTTTCTGAAGAGATATCTACATCTTTCCCCTTTGGTTGTATTCTTCTGTTATTACACATTGTTCATTGAAGAAGGCCTTCTTATCTCTTCTAGCTATTTTTTGGAACTCTTTTTTTTTTTTTTTTTTAATATGGAACGCTTCACGAATTTGTGTGTCATCCTTGCGCAGGGGCCATGCTAATCTTCTCTGTATTGTTCCAATTTTAGTATATGTGCTGCCGAAGCGAGCACTTTTGGAACTCTTATATACACCTTTCCCTCTCTCTCTTGCTTTTCTTTTCTTTGTTTTTCCGCTGTTTGTAAAACCTCTTCAGATAACCACTTTGCCTTCTTGCTTTTCTTTTTGTTTGGGGTGGTTTTGTTCTCCACCTCCTGTACAGTATTACAGCCTCTGTCCATAGTTCTTCAGGCACACTGTTAACTAGATCTAGTCCCTTGAATCTATTCATTATCTCTACTATGAATTCATACAGGATTTGACTTAAGTTATACTTGGCTGGCCTATTGTTTTTCCCAGTTTTCTTTAGTTTAAGCCTGAGTTTTGCTCTGAGAAGCTGATGACCTGGGCCAAACTCAGCTCCAAGTCTTGTTATTGCTGATTGTATACAGTTTCTCCATCTTCAGCTGCAAAGAATGTAATCAATTTGATTTTGCTATTGACCATTTGGAGATGTCCATGTGTAAAGTCGTCTCTTGTGTTGTTGAAAAAGGGTAGTGCATTCTCTTGGCAGAATTTAGTTAAGCTTTGCCTTGCTTCGTTTTGTTCTCCAAGGCCCAGAATTGCCTATTACTCCAAGTATGTCTTGACTTCCTACTTTTGCATTCCAATCCCCAGTGATGAATAGAACACCTTTTTTAGGTGTTAGTTCTAGGTGGTCTTCTAGATCTTCATAGAACTAATCAACTTCAGCTTCTTCAGCATCGGTGGTAGGGGCATAGACTTGGATTACTGTGATGTTGAATGGCTTGCCTTGGAAATGAACCAAGGTTATTGTCATTTTGAGGTTGCACCCAAGTACTGTATTTCGGACTCTTGTTGATTACGAGGGCTACTCCGTGTTCCCAATGGGATTCTTGCCCACAGTAGTAGATACAATGGTCATCTGAATTAAATTAGTCCATTCTCATCCATTTTAGTTCACTGATTCCTAGGATGTCTATGTTTATTCTTACCATCTCCTTGACCACATCCAGTTTTCCTTGATTCATGGACCTAACATTCCAGGTTCCTATACAATACTGTTGTTTGCAGCATCACCAGACACATCCACAACTGAGTATAGTATCTGCTTTGGCCCAGCTGCTTCATTCATTCTGGGGCTATTGGTAATTTTCCTCTGCTCTTCCCCAGTAGCATATTGGACACCTTCAGACCTGGGGGACTTATCTTTTTGTGTCATATTTTTTTGTCCTTTTATACAGTTCATGAGGTTCTCATGGCAGGTATACTCAGGTGCTATAATCAGGTATAATCTGGGTATAACTAGGTATACCCAGGTGGTATAATCAGGTTTGTCAATCCCTCCTCCAGTGGATCACGTTTTGTCAAAACTCTCTGCTATGACCCGTCCATCTTGGGTGGCCCTGCATGGCATGGCTCATAGCTTTATTGAGTTATGCAAGCCCCTTCACCACAACAAGGCAGTGATCCATGAAGGGGGACGATCAACTTATACAGCAATAAATAATCAATTTTCTTCATTCATCCCTCTGTTTTCTGAGGCACATATGAAAAATTCACGATACCTGTGTCAGTTTGCACACCCTTGTGTGCAAATTCTTTTCAGAATGTGTAGGCATAAAATTAAAACCTACCTTCAGAAACTTTTGAGCTTTGAAAAGTAAATTCATTTCAGTAGTCCTGAATTCTAAAGACTATGTGTCTGTATTTTAACAGAAATATTTTTGGTTCAAAGTAGATAGATTATATACTGTGTAACCCATGTAACTTCAGAATGAGGAGTGAAGTCCTTCTTAAAAGTGAAATTTTGTTTAAGGAAACATTTTTATTGAACTTTATTTTTAAAATGTTAGCAAACATGAAATGAGAGCTCAGAGTACTTGGTTATTAAGTTAAGTTTCAACTCATAAACATTATTTGGAATTTTGGAATATGTTCAACTTTAGGAACATTATTTGAAGAAACATCACTGTTATTTTGTGGTTTTAAGAAGAAAGTATATTTTGTTCTGATTTTTATTTCTTTATTTGACTTTTGGGTGTTGGTTCTTCTGGTGCAACGGTTTTTCTAGAAATGTGAAATGCGTAGCCTTATAGGAATCTTTAGTTCTTAAGTGAAAGATCTCTTTGTGGACCAAATTTGTGCCCAGAAATAACTTTCTTCTGTAGTCAGTAGGAAAAGAAAAATTTGTACCAGTGAAGTAAGTAGTTGAAAAGAAAGGAAAATACTGTTGATAATTTCTTTCTAGATTCAAATGTCTATGAATTAGAATAATGAATTGAAAGAAAATGTCTTATTAAAGTAAAAGTTTTAATGTAATAGAGCCATTATGTAATGTTTTAAAGAATTTTTGTTTCAAACAAATGCAAAAGATATTTATTTTGGTTTAATAGTTGTTAACAATCCTGAACCAGGAACATCCTGCTAAAAACAAAACATTCCACAGATAAGAATTATTCCCCCATAACTAATTGTTCAGTTGCTAAACTCTTTCTCTTTTCCAGCATCACAGCTATCTTTAGAATATGAAGACTTGGTAATCGTAAAGGTAGACTAGATTTGTTCTGTATAGTCAAGAGGGAAGAATTAATTCCAGGGGGTAGAAATGAAAAGGGTGCAGATTACAGCTTGCTGTATAAAACCCTTTCTGACAGTTAGGGATGTGTAACAAGGGTCTGCACAGTGGACAGTGATCCCCTGTTGCTTAGATGTGTTGCTTCCGGACAGCGTGCAGAAAAGAGGAGTGTCTGCTTTTCATGGACGTTGAACCTGATGGCCTTCCACTTCTTATCCAACCCTCATGGGTTTCTCTCTTAAGTAGAGTAACACTATTGTCTGTTTATGTTTTGAGATGATATTGTCTTTATTGACTTATTAGGAAAGGAAAAATTAATTTTCTAACCTCATTTAGTTCTACTTATTTATTTGGGTTTCCCAGGTGGCTCAGTGGTAAAGAATCTGCCTGCCTGTGCAGGAGACGTAAGAGACTTGGGTTCAGTCCCTGTGTTGGGAAAGATTCCCTGGAGTAGGAAATGACAACCCACTGTAGTATTCTTGCCTGGGAAATCCCATGGACAGAGGAGTCTGGCAGGCTGCAGTCCAAGGGGTCCAAGTTGGGAGTGACTGAGAACGAATGCATGCACTGATTTATTTGAAATCTTTGTTTCTTGATTTTCTGAAGCCATTTGTGGTTTCTTTACTTTTTTTTCCTCAGTTTAAGATCCTTAATGTACCCATGTCTTCCCAACTTGCTGCAAATCATTGGAACCAGCAACAAGCAGAACAAGAAGAGAGGATGAGAATGAAAAAACTCACACTAGATATCAATGAACGGCAAGAACAAGAAGATTATCAAGGTATCAAATCATTTCCAGGACAGAAGTGGAAAATTGTGATGCCTTTTGGATTTTTAAAATATAGAGCGTCAAAGCTATTTTCTCCTTTTCATGTCATGTTTGTTTATATTTAGCCTGAGAATTTGATTGTTTTTTGTATTCCTTTCTGTCTTTATTTTTCTTTCACTTATTTATAAAATAACACTAATGTAATTTTTATCATACTTTGCTTCCCTTATAATTCAGTTAGATTCTGTACTGTAAGAGCTGGATTGCAGGTGAGATAGTACCAAGTTTTAATTGCCTTGTGTTGCCAGTCAACTGTGAGCAAATTATTATTCAGCAAATATCCTCTCTTGTCTGTTTGGGAATCCTGGTCTTGAGGACCCTCTTCCTCCCAGATTTGAGGTCATCAAGTTAGGATTCCAGTTTTAATGCAGACATACTCAGCACACTTGGATTAGCTAAACTTTACATACGGAGTCCAGACACCTTAAAAGGCCCTCAGAGCTATAACATGGCTTTTATATAGTGTTGTACTCACAAACTGCTTTTTGTGCAAGAGATTGTTGTGTAAATAAACATTTGGTTTTCTATCTTTAAATCCCACTTTTAGAATCTTCTCTTTCAGTTGATGCCAATTTAAAAAAAAATAAATGTGTGTATTTATTTATTTGGTCCTGACTAAAGGCATGCAGGATCTTAGTTCCCTGACTGGGTATCGAACCCATGTCCCCTGCAGTGGAAGCATGGAGTCCTAGCCACTGGACCACCAGGGAATTGCCAATACTCAGTGTTCTTAATAATAAATAATGGTATCTAACACTCAGTAGAGGTGCTTATTATGGCCAGGTGCTTATGTACTTGGTCATAGCTTTTAATCCTCACAATAATTCCATGAGATAAATGAAACTTTATATTTAGGGAAACTGAGCCAAAAGCCCCATAGCTAGTATGTGGCAGAGCTGGGATCCAATCTAATGTTGTTCAGCTCTGAACACCATGCTCCCAGCTATTGTACTCTACTGCTTCTTACACTGTTTCACTGCCTCACAAGACACACAGTTGTGGCCCCATTGACTGTAAGGGAGCGTGATGTTATATGGTACACAAGAGCATGTCTCCTCTCTTGATTGCTCTTCCAGTACTTCTCAATGATTTTAGCCCATATAATGGTGATTTTTCTTTAGTTAGCTACCTGACACAGCTAATAAATTTGATCTCCCTTTATTTGCTTATTGGGAGAAGTACATTTACCAATGTTAACGCCTTTTCTGTTTTGCTCCTAACTACAGAGATGCTGCAATCTCTTGCCCAACGCCCAGCTCCAGCAAACACCAATCGGGAGCGGCGGCCTCGTTACCAACACCCAAAGGGAGCGCCTAATGCGGATCTAATCTTTAAGACTGGTGGGAGGTATGACGATCTCACTTGTTTCTGCCTTAGCTAGTTCTTTTTCATGGTGTCTGTGTGAGGAAGTTAGATAGTTCTGGATTATACCTAATGATAAAGGCCCAAGGATTAGCACAATAGAAAAGTCTTTGAGTTGTAGATATTTGAGGGGAAAAAAAACCTGTTTATAAAATAGTTACCTTTTTTTTGTTTTATAAAATCTTGATTTTAGTCATACCAGTATTGGTTTTCATTTTCTGTGACTTTTTTGGATTGTTAAAGATTTTCTCTTTTGCATTTATAGAGAGGACTAGTTATCGATTAATTGGAGAGAAGTCACAGGCTTTTTGTTAGAATTTCTTAAGCCAGTGTTAAGTAATCATAATGTTTATAAAAACTCAAAACCTGTTGCTAGACTTTGAAGCATGCAGATTGAGTTTGTTTTTAGGTATTTTTTGTTTGTTTTTAAATTATAAAATATCCTGCTGGTATCCGTGCTACTTCTTCTTAAACTTGAGTTGCCTGATGTGAAATAACTAAAACTGTAAGGTATTTCACATAGAAGATATTCCCTAATAAGACCTCACTCATCTTGTTTTTAAAGAACAAAATTGCTGAAAGTTTTGCCAGGATCTGATCTGAAGACCCTTCCCCATCAATTTCGTTCTTTCTCTTGTGTTTGGGTTATTATCAAAAGTGACATAGGCTTCGTTGCTCTCCACCGGTCTGCCTCGGGGTATTAGTGTTTAGACTGAGGCTGTCAGAGCCCTCAAATATCAACGTGTTGTTGGGAATAGGCGAGCAGGTGTAGGAGAGAGGTTCTGGGGTTGCAGAAATGGTCCATCCCTGGAGTAGTAGCACTGCAGAAAATGCAGATATTCAGCCCGTGTCTTTACTCAGTAAGAATATTTGTGTTCCTGATAACGTTTTACTTTGAACTGTATGCTCAGGCCCTGATAGCTCAGTTGGTAAAGAATCCACCTTCAATGCAGGAGACCCCCGTTCGATTCCTGGATCAGGAAGATCTGCTAGAGAAGGGATAGTCTACCCACTCCAGTATTCTTGGGCTTCCCTTGTGGCTCAGCTGCTAAAGAATCTGCCTGCAGTGTGGGAAACCTGGATTCTCTCCCTGGGTTGGGAAGATCCCCTGGAGAAGGGAAAGGCTACTCACTCCAGTATTCTGGCCTGGAGAATTCCATGGGCTGAATAGTCCATGGTGTTGTGGAGTGGGACATGACTGAGTGACTGTCACTTCACATATGCTCAGACAACTCTAATCAAATTTCAGTTGAGGAAATTGGTTTGTCAAACTGAGTTCTCACATCCTTCAGGGTTACTCATGGCTTGTGGGATAAAGTCCCAGCTCCTCACTTGATAACATGACCCTGGATGATAGGGTGCACTCTATTTACTGGCTTTCTCTCCTGCTGTTCTTTGCCCTCCTCCCCACCCAGCTGGCCTCTTAGTTCTCCTAGTTACGCTGTCTTTTGCCTCTCTCTGTTTGGAACTCTCTTGGGCCCTTCCTCTGGATAACTCTTGCTCCTCCCGTCTGGTCTCACCTTGATACTCAGGAGTCTCACCTTGGTGCCCTGAGTCACGATGCTTCCCCAAACCTTACAGTGCTTCATCACCTGCCAGCCTGTCTCCATCCCCCAGAAAACTGAGGACCCAGGAAGCCCTGTCTTGCTTTCCGTTTTGTCTCCTCCACAGCTTTTGGTGCCTAGCATGTAGTAGATCCCCAGTAAATGTTTGTTGAATGGACAGAGAAACTTAAAAAAAAAAAATCTGTGTTTAATCATTTAATAAACTTTCTTCCTATGTTATGCTTCCCAGCACTCTCATTCCCTTCTGTTTTCCTGATTTTGTGAGACTCCAGTTCTTGAGCTACTTCCTTTACCTATTTTAAATCTCTGCCTAAAATACTGATTTGGAAAATAAAATCCTAACTGGTAGAGTGCTCTTTAAAATGACCCTCTGTAAGGTCTCCTGGTTTTGTGGTATTTTTAAAGCCAGAGCTCTCAAAATGAAGGTATGGATGAATATTGGGGAGGAACACACAAATGTGTAAAAGTGAGTTTCTGAGCCTTTCAAGTACCATGTGTTTTTTGCTGTTTTTTAAATTTAAATTTAAGTGAAGAAGTGTAGTCATGTGGAAGAACATTAGCTGATGGGGTGGTGTCTTTTGGTGGTTTGGCTCCTCTTTATTTTCTTCTATTTTTAACGCTGGGCAAGATTCATTGGGAAGCTGTTTATCTAGAGCCATGGTCCTCGGCTCTCTGGGTGCTGAATTCCTATAAGAGAAGGCAGAAGAAATTCTGTGAGGTCTGAAGAACTGTTTTCAGTTGACTCCTAATTTGGCTAGTACTCTTTTAAAAGTTATTAATATTGTTTGCATTATATGGCAGATGAAGGGAAATTTACTAGAAACCTGGTTATTAAAGCGGTTTTAAGTTTTTCTTATCTCTAGATTTTGATAAGGCTCTCAGACATTAATTGTAATGATTTTTATATTTTCTAATCAGGATTGAAATAGAGCTGTAAGTTAAAATTTCAGCCCTTCTCCCTGGGTATTTATGTCCTAACAAAGTAGAAGCATTTTGCTTATAATGAATTAAAATGGAAATAGCACTCTAAGTAATACAGTTACCCAGGTGTTTTGTAAGGCAGGACAGGGTTGCTTTCCACTCTGCTAGCGTTGAAAAAACTGTGAAACTCAACATCATGGGAAAGATTGAGGGCAGGAGGAAAAGGGGGCACCAGAAGATGAGATGGTTGGATAGCATCCCTGAAGCCTGGCGTGCTGCAGTCTATGGGGTTGCAGAGAGTTGGACATGACTTAGCAACTGAACAACAATAGCATCTTTGGCAAATGTCAGTACTAATACAGTTTACACTCTGTAAATTCATGTGGATTATACTGTTGCTCCTCAAACTTCAAAATACACATTTTAGCCATCTTGACTCATTAAACTGCTGGTTCTGATTAGTTTCTAACAAGCTGTCAGATGATGTCAAAGTTGCTGGAGTGTGGACCACTCTCAGAGTAGTGAGAGCTTATATGGCAAATGTGTCTCACTTACCAAAGACTGTGAACACATTTCCTTTATTCACTGCATTTGTCTAAGATATTCTGTTTTAGACCATTGCTTTGTCTTGACATCAAGAGAAACTGTTTCTTTCTCTCAGGGAATACTAGTGTTACTGACCTTTTCCCTTTCTGTTCAGTTCTATACAAATTGCAGATGTATCCAACTGAAGATAGACTTTTCCATATTTGCATTTTAGTCTCTGGAAGTTTCTTGCTAATGCAGCTGGCCTTATGTAGGCAACCTGTGTTAATTTGCTAGAGCTGCCAAAAGACAGCATTGTACACAGTGTGATTCACACAACAGAACTCCCGTCTCACACTCTGGAGGCCAGAATCCGAAGTCAAGGCAGGGTTGGTTCTTTCTGAGGGCTGAGAGGGACAGTCTGCTCCCAGCTCCCTACTGCCTCCTGGTGGTTTGCCAGCAGCCCCTGGCACTCCTGGCTTCCACAGCACCTTCTGATCCCTGCCTTCCTCTTCACGGGGGGCTCTCCTCAGGTGTGTGTCTGTCCAGATGTCCTCCTACTGTGAGAACACAGTCATACTGGATTAGGGGCTCATCTGATTCCAGTCTGGCCTTCTCTTAACTAATTACGTCTGCAGTGACTCTTTCTCCAAATAAGGTTGCATTCTGAGGTTCAGAGGTTAGACTTCAGCACATAAATTTGGTGGTTACGCAGTTCAGCTGACACAAACCATGAGTTTTCAGCATCTTAGAAAGTAGTTACAGGAAAGCTGATGGGCCCACCCTCGCCATCACTGTCAGAATTGCCCTATTTAGTGCCCCTCTGCCCCCTCTTGTTTCTTCAGTAGGATTCTGTACTCTCTTTAAAAAGCACTGACTTCTCTGCAGTCAGTGAACAGTGGCTGGTGGTGCTCAGGGGGCATTTTCTTGCTGGAGGGGCATCCTCAGTCCTGGTTCTTTAACATTGCCCTGTTTGTGCCTCTAGGAGACGTTGATCCAGCAGCACGTGTCATTTCATTAGGTCCTGTATCTGATGTTGTGGATAGTGGAGTCCTCCAGCAATTGAATGAGAGCAGTGGACACATCTCAGCATGTCGGTCTAGAGAGTTGCGAATCTAAACCTGGACAGGCTGGGGCCATGAGGCAGAAACAGCAGCCTCTGCCAACACCGGAACAAGCCGACGCTTCCAGACAAGGCGGAAAAGGCCTTTTGTAATGGAAATCACGTGAGGGTTCATCTTCTCTTGAGAATGGCAGTCAAGAAATGAGGTGGTTGACTTGACTTCTGAGCAGTTACACCGGGAAGAGCGTCAGTGAGATGACTGAGCCGGAGAAGAGACGGTTGTAATGGTAATGGTATGGGGGAAATGAACTTGAGTTTAAACTTGATTTGAGTTTCAGTGTCTCTGAATTGAACATCCCATGTTGAAAGAAGATACATTTGGGGGCTCCAGAACTACAGTAGAAAAGTATAGAGCAAGCAGTAAAATCTTCTAGTGAAAACTTACATGCAGGACAGCAAAATGATGAAAGATATCCAGGTACCAGATAATCCACCAGGAAGGCTTTTGTTTAGGAATCTCTTTCATGAGGAACAAGGGATGAGGGAGAAAAATCAGTTTTATCCACCAGAGTCAGTAATACAACATTGCCTATTAGGATAAAGGGAAAATGTGAAGATGATTAGTACACACAGCATGAACCCAGATGGCTTAGGGGGGTCTGACACCAGCCTCAGAATAGGGATAGTCGAGCCCATTGTAAGTATCATTGAAAACAAACAGCGTGCCAGGCAGACACCACAGAAGATGGACGAAGGACAGCGAGAAGGGGATCCGGAGATTTTGTTGACCTTCATGGGTTTACAGCCTCTGTCTCTAAACAAAGTATGGAAACAGTAGAGCTTTTATTTTGCTTTTGTTTTTGTTTTGTTTTGTTTTTCCCCCACTACATAGAAATGAGAATTCTTAGTCT